AGGAGGGAGTGGCCGCCCCTTCGAGGCAGGAAGAGACGGAGGCTGTATAGAAGAAATGGGAGGAGGTGGTGGTGGTGGTGGGGGAGGGGGTAAAACAACCTTAGAAGTTCGCGGAGGGGGAGCTGGAGGGTGACAATTAGAAGATAAATCAGGGGATGTGAGAGGTGGTGGTGGTACAGCTGATAAAATACCCTTGCTATCTACAGTGTTTGAAAAGAAAGAAGATGGAAGGCGTGGATGTTCTTTAGAAGAATTTATAGATGAAGGTATAGGTAAGGGTGCAGATATTTCATTAGAGCTATAAAAGGGTGGAGATAGAGGCGGGGGTGGTGGTGGTGGCGGTACTGATGGTGGCATAGAAAGTGGATACTCTCTACTACAATGGACAAAAGGTGGCGGTGGTGGAGGCACTGAGCCTTTTTTACTAGGAAAACTAAAAAGAGGTGGAGGCGGAGGTGGTGGTGGTGGTACCAAAGATTTAGAACTTATTATATTAGTAACGGTAGAAAGAGGTACTGGTGGTGAGGAACTTAAGGGCAAAGAACAAGCTTGTCTATCATGATCTTGTCCTGTTTTTGAATGATCGGGACCCACACTCAACTCAAATTGCCTTCTGTTTCCCAGAACAGAACAAGGGATTTCAGCAGAAGGTTTCGCAATAGAGGTTGTATCAGAAGCAAAATCCTCAGACAGATGATCATCAAAGAAATTCACATCCTGTGAATTTGTATTAACAAGATTATTACCAGCCTTCTCAGCATCAAGAAAATCCAAGCTATCAGCAATACTGGGTGCGTTGGTTTCTTCCTCCGAATCCAGAGGTGATGATGAATACTCACTCATCCTGTTTTGCAGCACAGATAAATCTTTCAAGTCATTCAACATTGAGAGCTGTTTAAGAAACCATAAAGCAGCATCATCGCCAGAATCAGCCCATTCACTTCCACCAAAAAGTTCTTGGACCATTGAAAAAGTTTCAATAGGAAGTCCTCCTTTCTCCTCCCCATTGAAAACCGCAGTTGGTGCTCTTGGATGAGGGATGTTCTCCACATCTCCGAACAAAACCTGTGCAGGTAAATATAACGGCACCTTAATCCCAACTGGTTGGGGTTGGTGGCATTAAACTTATACAACAACAACCCAGTAGAATCCCATGAAAGAAGGGTGTGGGGAGGGGGGGGCGTAGACCTTACCTTAATGGAAAGTAGAGAGGTTGTTTCTAAGAGACCCCAGCTCAAGCAACACAGAATGTAGACAAAGCATGAACACAATAAGCAAAGAGCAAACTAAAGGTAAAGGAAAGCACAAAGAGACAAAAAAGCACCAAGCAAAGAAAGCACACACACGACAAGAGCAAAAGCTATGACCTAAGCCCAAACGACTACCCAACTACCCTATTCCTAGATATGTAAATGCTCCTACCTAAGGTCATATACTCGGTAAGGCCCGGAAAACTAAGTCCTATCACCTCTTTCCATATCTTCCTTGGTCTAACTCTTCCCCTACCCCCGTCCACCACCGTAAGCATCTCACACCTCATCAAGGAGTACTTCACCGCTTCACGTGCCCAAACCACTTCAACCTAGCTTCCCACAACTTATCCTCCCGAGATGCCACTCCCACCCGTCCCTGTATAACCTCGTTCTGAATCATATCCAACCTTGTATGCCCACACATCCATTGCCTCTGCAGCACGCAGTTGATGAACATGGGTTTTCTTAAGTGGCATTAAACGTATAGTCGCAATTAAATAATTTATATATTTATTTACACTATAAACATGTGCAAAAAAAACATATTGGCAATGATTATCGTCAGATGCTCTTCATTTCAGAGTAATGAAAGATAACTCTAAAACCGCCATCATCATAGGTTATTTCGACATGCATGAAAAATGTCATGAGATGGTATTGAGTTGAGATAGTTAACTAACTAATCAATATACTCAATTAGAAAGAAGTTAACAACAATCACATTAAGTCACCTCAGCTCGAAAACCTTTCGGGTAGCGCCCCTTTGAATCCCAAAGAATATCCAAGTTATCAATGCTTAACATCAAAATATTGGATCGAATAAAAGCTGTATTGAACATCACACGGAACATCATCACTTCTCTTTCTGGTTCTGTTTCTAAATGGACACACTCCAAAACAACATCTCCTTGCACTAAACACTGAATATCAATCTTAATCACATCACTGTCCTTCTGAAGAGAAACAATGTAACACACCATTCAGTATTCGGATCCCCTGAAAAACACAAAGATGAATGGAGAATGCACTTCTATTAAAGCAATGTCTACCTGCCGGTAATGTTTAAGACCTTTGCCTTTCTTGGACATAGAGTATAGCATCTGAGTTGAGAGCCCATCCTTACTCAAAAGATTTCTACCAAAAATACGAATCATAGGCCTACACCCTTTCTGCCTATCAAATTTAGGAATGGCTCTGAGAATGATACAGTCCAAAGAAAGAGCCCGCTCAGGAGGGGGCCACTCTGGGGAGATATTTCTTCTGGAAAGATATTGCAAGTAGCGAAGCTGAGATGGAAATGGGTTCAGTGGGGACAACAGCTGCAATAACCCTTTAGGGGCCTCTCGGTAAACCATTTCAAGAGTTTTCCTCTCTCCACTATGCAATTTCTTGAAAATCATGAAACTAGCCAAAACCAATGCCAAAACAGGCCAACCTCCTCTATCACAATGAAATAAAATAACATTCTGGTGATTTGAAAGAGAAAGCCAACTCTCGCAGACACGGAGAAAATTATTAAGCAAAGACAATGGCAACAGGGGGCAACCTTCGTATTGCTTTGGGTAATCCATAACGGTGACATCATATTTGCACAAAATATCAGCAAACTGACTTTTTTCCCCGCCTTCTCTGAAATTAAATGCAAGAAAAGATGATTCAAGGAACTCTTCGTGTAGATCAGTAATGACACTGTGCAAATAGAGCTGATAAGTTTCCTCAGGCACTACTTCAGTGGAAAAGCAAGAATCTAAGACTGCAGAAACACAGCATCATGGAATCAATCAAATTAGCACTCCATAGAATCTAAGACTGCAGACACATAGTCGAAAAAAGGAAGGAAAAAAAATAGAACAATAACTTTAAGATTGATTTACCATATACTCTGTCATCAAGTTCAATCAAGCCATCTGGGGGCTTTCTATAAAAAAATCTGCTTAGCAGGGTCATCACTCGTAAGTGTAAGAGATACTACTTTGAATTATACACACAAGATCCACAGACCTACAAAAATGATATGGAAGAACAAATAGCAGAGAGGGTAAGCTATAATAAAATGATCTGCAAATTGGAAATTTCGATTCCCATTAAAACAGAAAACTTCGTAATTTGCCAGAAACAAGGTATAATTAAAAAAAACTCAGTTCGTGAAGTTAAATTATTCAAGTGCCGCTCAACTGCAACAAAGATTGTTGGAATAAAAATCGAATATAAGACGCTAGGAAACTAAAATTGTAGCACAAAGCTGGGAAATTTATCAAACGTGCATTTACCTTAACTACTAAAATTGAAAACCCCATTTTTAGAACCAAATAATGGGGTTTAAAATCAAAACTAAGCCCATCAATTTAAGCAGCTGATTGAACCAGAATTTATCAAAAACGAAGGGACAAACGCACGAGAGAGGCAAATGAACTGAAATTGTACCGGCAAAGAGAAGGGCTCTAAGGGGAGGAATGGTCGACTGGTCGACGCAGAGGTGGAGATATATGCTGAGGAGAAAGAACATTCAATTCCGCGACGAATGAGCTCCAGATTTTCAGTTCAAATTACTCCTCCTGAACGGGAGGAACATCAAATTTCAATTTTTCATAAATGGGTAGAAACGCTAATCTGTTTGGTTCTAGAAAACAATTCCAAATTTGAATGGTTAAAATAAGGAAGTGTTAGATTGTATTTAACTCTAAATTTGATTTATAAAAGTAAGATGTGACGTATAAATTGTTCGAGAAAAAAGTATGATATGATAGATAGGATAAAAAAATAGAGGTAATTGGTAAAAGTAGATTTTTTTAATAGAAAGTTTAAATGTTTTGGTTAAAAAGAAAAAGAATGAAAGATAAAGTATTTTGTAGAGCGGAGTGCGTATAAATTATTTTAGAAAGATAAAAAAAATGACACTATTTTGTGAAATGCACTAACTGCCGTTACTTTTTTGCAATGAATGAGAAGAATCAACTTACCACAACAAAAATATAATTGTACAACAACTCGATTAAGGTACATATAGTGTTTTATTCGTAAAATTAATGGTTCTTACTCTCCTAACACTCACCCTAAACCCAACACCTAGCACTCAGCCCCAACAATGATTTGAGCATTCATATTCACATGATAAAATTTTGAAAAGCCGCAATAAAGGTCTTACATCCATACTATGGTTTTATGAGGTACATTCAAAATCATTTCTATTACCTACGTCACAAAATAAAAGAGAGTAATTTTAATTAAGATTATATTGTTTTCTTTTATACAGTCGTCATAATATAGACGTATTTTTTTCAGGTAGTAGTCCATTGCATGGCTAATTTTGGTATTTTTTTTTAAATGCAATACAAAAACGTTGCTATTTTATTATAGTTTTCTCTATAGTGTTATAGAGATGTGTAATATTTTATGTTTCCAATCCAATTTAGGGTTTTTCTAAATTAATCCAAAAGTGGCTATATATTGGAGTGAGATTGACTTGTTAAGTAAATGGAGTGATGAGATTGACTTGTTTGGTTTGGTATTGAAGCTGGTGCCTATCATAATACTCACTGCCAAAATGACATTATAGAACAGGAGGGAGTATTGTCTATACCCAAAAGAACAACATGAAAATTGGCAATGCCAAGAACTTAAACAAAAACATCACAAACAACTTGTTAAGGAAAAAAACACTAATGTCAAAAGACACCAACACATCAGTTTTGGAGTTGTACATTCCAAAAAATCAGCAGATCAAATGACACATTCCTAGTAGCCAGTTGCAGGAACTAGCTGTGGACTATTGACACATTCTTGATGTGTGCTTCGACTACGATGCAATTGTCAACCAGAAACCCTTTGCAAGGATCTTGCAGATCAATTAGAGGTATGAACTTAGACCAGCCCCGCGCAGATTTTGCCGTGACCCATCCACAATCTACAAATTGATCAAATGATCAAACAAGTTTTTTTTAAGTAAAATCTAATTGCGTAGTTATAAGTAAAATCTAATTGCGTAGTTAGTAGATCTGATCAAAGTGCGGAATGGGCTGGACCAAAACGCTTAAATTTTGCACATACCTTTGGCTGTCTTATCTTTTCCGGACAGCTGGTTTCGTATGGACATCATGAAATTGACAAGCAGCCTGGCTGATGTATCTTTGGAATCAACAAGTTTCAAATGCAGAGCCAGATACTCCTCTTCAGCGGAGAGTTCCACCACCCTGATTAAATAAATTAAAATCGCCAGGAAAAATATTTCAAGAACTCATAACTTCTTAGTCAACAAGGCTCTGATATCGTATCACGAAACGAAAAAAAAGCTCAACCTTTGGTTGTAGACTAAGGAAATAATTTCATATTTGAACGCAAACGTCTAGAAAAAAAGGCTGCATGATTACTATTACCATTGGAAGGAGCCAGCTAGAAAGGCATGGGAACGACGAACTTGTTGGGAGCTTGAAAGGTCAAAGTCGGATAGCCTCCAAGTGAAGGTTTTGTCAAGCCTGAGAGAAGGGCTCAAATGCTCTCCTCCAAACACGGACTTGAGCACAAAAACTTCCACGCCGAACACGCACTCGTCCCCCACAAGAAACCCATTCCCAGCATCCTCGAAAGCCCTCCGAGAGACCAAGTTGGGAATGCCCCACTCCTTTCTCCACACGTGGAACCGGTTCACTTTGTTGTCTTGAAAAACCAAGTATTTGTCGCGGCGCTGATCAAAGAGAATGAACTTCAAGTCGGCATAGACCTCCCAGCCAAGAGGGAGGGCATCTGTGTCCTCAATGCTCAAGAACACAGAGATGTTTCCCTTGCTGCCCCTGTACACGTCCCCATTTGGGTACACAGAAAATGTCCTGTATACAAAAGAAAAAAAACACATTATTTAATTGGCTGTTTGGATCATTTGTATTGAGTGTGAAACTCATCATAGGTATGGTACCATTTGTGGCCACAGGCATGGAAAACTTGGGACTTGAAAAACTGGGTTCCGCCGCCATCAGACAACATGAGAGTAAGACTGGAGAAAGATTCAATGTGAAGCATGTAGTGGGAGGGAGGCACTTCTCTTATTGACCACCTAACTCCCTCTGCAAAGTGCAAATCAAAGTGCAAATCATTTTGTTATGTGTACAACATATTTTTCCCTCCGTCCCAAAAAAGGTTACCTTTCATTTTTTGCGCATCTCATATAACGTTTCTATATTGTCTCAAACGCCAAAAAAACTTTCAAAAAGACTTCTACCCACAATAAAGGGCAAAATATGGTAATTTTTAGTTATTTTAAATGTTGGTAGAAGTATTTTTTGGGAAACAATTTCTTTTTCATACTTTAATTAAGAAAATGAATGGAGAGAAAGAAAGAAAGAAAGAAAGAAAGAAAGAAAGAAAACAGTACCAAAGGAAGCATGGTCATGAGTGGAGGGTTGATGAGGGGGAAGAAGATGGTGGTGATGGGGTGCCCTTTCTGCCATATGTATTGTCAACCTGCTCTGATATTCTTCTTCTATTCAACATACATCCAATGAAGAAAATCATTCTAGTTGAGGGAGACACAACTATTAAATTAGGGAGTACGCGCCTCCATGGGAAAACCAATTTCATCATTAACTTGTACTCCCTATTTATGACAGTAGAACTTGGAGTAATTAAAAGCCAGTTTTATTATTATTAGGCTAAACTCCACCATTGGTCCTTCAACTTTATCAATTGTGCACGATTGGTCCTTAAAGTTTTAAAAGTCCATAAATAGTCCTTCAACTTTATGATTTATGCACGATTGGTCCTTCAAGTTTTAAAAGTGCATAAGTAGTCCTTCAAGTACACGTCACCCCTCCAGATGAGGTCCTTTTGACAGTAAATGTTAAAAGCTAAATGGAATACTTGCTCCATATAATACGGAGTAGTCGTACCTAGTGGAATTTACTCATATTATATGAAACTAGTATTTCGTTTAACTTTTAATATTTACTGTCAAAAGGACTTCATATGAAGGGCTGACGTGTACCTGAAGGACTGCTTATGGACTTTTAAAACTTGAAGGACCAATGGTGCAGAACTTATAAAGTTGAAGGACTGTTTATGGACTTTTGAAACTTGAAGGACCAATCGGGCACAACTAATACAGTTGAATGACCAATGGTGGATTTTAGCCTATTATTATTATTATTTTTTATTATTATTATTATTATTATTATTATTATTATTATTATTATTATTATTATTTAGTACTTGTACACTACCCCAAATTGTATGTACAGAACAGGGTGTATCTTTATTTTGTGACATAGTTCAAACTAGCATAAAATGTTAATGCAAATTTTTTTATTATACTAACATTTCGTGTCAGTATGAATCATCAAAATATTAATTGGTACGCACTTTTAGTATGCAACTTGGGATATATTCTTTAGCGTACCCCTAGTATAGTTGTTTTTAATATTCATGCCATGGGTTTCTCATTATACTCCCTCCACCCTACATCTTTCTTATATTTTTTACTTTGGCAATATTAATTTTCAAAGTGTTGTCTTGAAAACCGTAAAAAAAAAGAAATAGAAGTATCATTTCTCCTACTCATGTCTCTACTCGCAATCAACTCAAAAATATTTTTTCTAAGACGCTCGGGAAGAATCAATTTAATATTTTACTTCCCAATCGAGTTGAACATTTCACATTTGTCTGTAACATTTGTCCTACTCATCTCCTACCTCAGTCTGTAAAAATATCAAAGGAGTGCTGCAGAATGGAAGTAAAGAGGCATTACCTTTACTCTTCAAACTATTAAATGAGTATGTCAGGGTCCAGGTTTTGCAAACCCCGGCTGGTCTCCCACCTAATAGAAGTACTTTTGATCCTGGAATTTCACTGAAAGAAGGAAGCCATCTGGTAACTCTCATACCTTACAAACACTTGCAAAGTGATGAAGCTCATTCCCAGGAAATCTGCAAGGTAAGTGTCAACTGTTCTAGACCTCTTCAGATTTTGGACCAAATAAGAATAAGGAGGAGAAATACTACCAGAAGACAGTGGTTAGTTCCTTGGGCAGGACAATCACAAAGGAAGAGAAAATGTAAAGGGGTATTAAGGAGGAATGTCTTTATAGATGTTATAGAAGGGTGGCTTAACTCATTGGGTAGACAAACTGAGGTTGTTAACAGATACCCTGAGACCCATTTGAGAGCCATGGGCAATGAACTCCCAAAACTCATCAAGGAGGCAACTCATCTACAGTTACCCTCTTGGATACTTGGATTAACTGCTACAACTAGGCTTCAACCACTGGTTGTACCAGCTAGAACACAAGGGTTGATTCCATGGGAAGTAGGTTGGGTATGTTCAACGCACCCTTTTACCACTTTAAAGGAGGTCCAAAACAGAGCGAATCAATTGGTTGATTCCCATGGCATTGATAAGATTTTACAGCAGGGTCCCTTACATATTCAAGTGAGAAGTGGCCATGTGGCTTACAAACTATTGCTGCGAGAGGGTGCAGAGGTTCACAATGTATCTATTGAAAGCTTTTAAAGGACCAATGCTGACTACTCCATCCAGGTTTCCATGTCAAAGGGTACAAGATGTTGCAAGGAAGTGGTGAGGATTCGGAAACCAGTTTTAGCTTTTCAACCTTGAGGACAAGGTTGTCCTAAGGGGGGTAGTATGATACAGTGTAAATGGGGGTTAGTTGGGTTTGTTAGGGTTATTAGTTGGGGTAGCTCTTATAAATACCCACTCTATCTCTAAAAAATGTATCAATCAAGAAATGAATAACAACTTCTCCAAATCTCTATCTCTCTCGTCCTTCTCCCTCTATCTCTCTCTCGGTTCTTCTGTGTATTTTACAGATCTTTCGAAGCTCTCCTTCTCCGTTCCTGAGTAGCTTCCTAGGACTGTATCACATAGCCGGACATAGGGTCTCCTTCTCCGTTCCTGAGTATCTCTCTGCTCTCTCTCCGTTCTTCCGTGTTGAAAGAACGGAGTTCAAGGATCAAGACACACTTATTTTCCCCTATTGTTTTCTGGTAAATAAACTAATAAACAGAAGAAATTTTCAACTTGTTCTTGTATTCAAAAAGAAGAAGAAAAAGAAAGAAATGATGGTGTGTTCTGCACAAGTGAAGAAGACAAAGCAAGCAAAAAAATAAAAATCATTCCCAAAGATTTGACCAAAAAGAATCAAATGACTATATTGATAGTATGTTCTCTGTTGCCAACAACCAGATACTTAGACCCCTCTTCAACCACCATCAACCCATCCTCATTGGCACTGCTGAGATGCTCACAAGGGCTGACATCAAACTCAACATCTACTCCTTCGCCGGCTTTCAAGCTCACGCTCTGAAACCCTATCAACTCTTTCGCCGCGCTTCCCTCTCTCTCTTCACCCGGCTTCACAAAGAGCAACACCGGGTGAGTTCCATCCATTTCCCCATCGTTATCGACTCGAATGGTTGCCGAGAATTTTGCCTTTTCGCACATCTCTTCGCCAATCTCATCTACTGACGTGTATGGCACAGACTCAGGTGTCGCGGCTCTCTTGACCCGCGGCATCTGGTTCAAGTCCACTGTGGTTTTTGTGGTCGGAGCGAACTCGTAAGCGTAGGGGGAGTAGCTAAGACCATACCCGAAGTTGAAGACTGTAGGACCCTTGTAGAACCTATATGTTCGCCCGGGGTACCCTGTAGCTTTATTGGCCCTCATCCTCATGTCTGTCATTGGAACTTTTATGTAGTCTTTCGGGTACCATGTGACCGGCAATTTCCCTCCTGCAAGTCATGGAATTTTCATTTTTTTAAAAGGGGAGGATCACGAAACCAACTCAACCAAAAACTCAATCTTCTGACAGAAAAAGTGTTATATGGGAAAAAAATTATAATGTCTTTACCAGGATTGTAATCGCCGAATATAATTTCTGCAAGGGCAAGGCCTCCTGCTTCGCCAGGATAGCCTGCCCACAAAATGCTGCCTATTTTAGGGTCGAAATTCGCGAAAGAAATATCAACGGGCCCACCACAAAGCAACACCAGTATCACGGGCCTCTTTGCCGCTTTAGCAACAGCCGTAATGAGAGCTTCTTGTTGCCCGGGAAGCACCAACTGGACGCGGTCTTTTTCTTCCCTTTCTTGCCCCTGATTCAATCCCATGACCAGAACTACATGATCAGAGTTTCTAGCCAACTTCACAGCTTCATCAACTGCAGCAGAGGCACACTCAATTCCAACACAGCCTTCTTGAAACACACTGTTTTTCACATAACCCTGCAAGGCCTTGTAGATTTCAACGGATTTGCACGGAGGGCCATAGTAATTCCCTAAAAGGACATTCGCGTTGTTCCCATTAGGTCCTATAACGGCGAGGGACATTGTTTTGGCTTTTGAAAGAGGAAGTAGCTTGGCCTGGTTCTTCAGCAAGACAATGCCCTTTCTTGCAGCTTCTAGAGCTACATTTTGGTGTTCTTGACTGCAAACTTCATTCCCAAGAATGTTACCATAAGGTAAGTGATTTGGGCTCCCATCAAACAGTCCCAATCTCATACGAATGCTGAAGAGGTTGTGTAGAGCTCTGTCTATTTGTGATTCTAACACTTTTTTCTGCATAACGGCTAATTTTGTATAGTTCCCCAAAAATGAACCACAGTTGACATCCATCCCTGCGCGGTTTAGTCCCCATATACAAAGGTAAGTACTTTATTTAGAAAGAAAGGATATGGCACTTACTGATGAGATCACACTAAAGAATTTGATGTAATCGATAGTTAGTTCAGTTCAAATTTCAAAATCTTATTACATAGTTGAACTAGTGAAGAATGCAACTTTACCGGCATTGAGCACATCTGCGACGGTTTCTTCTGGTGTTTTTGTATACTTATGGTCGTGAAAAACATTTCCCACTGCATCACAATCTGAGGTAATGTACCTAAAATGTGCCAAAAAGAATCATTAAAAAGAGAAACAATAAGGGGGGGGGGGATCAAATTTTGTAAATAAATAAAAAAAGGGTTGATTTCTATATATATATATATATATTTCGTACCCACGAAAACCCCATTGGCCGCGAGCAGTTTTGGTGAGGAGATCGTAACTAGCACAGCTGGGGATGCCATTGACGCTGTTATAAGCACACATGATTCCGCTGGCTCTGGCTTTTTGAATGCAGCTCTGGAATGGTGGCTGATATGTATCAGCCAAATCTTGTTTTGTCGCCTATTCATCCATTCCACAAACCAAATTATCTATGAACACTCAAGTTTAAAAAGAGGGAGTGCAAAGTTACACCATTCTCATATAACAACATCGTGACACCATTTCAATTTGGACACCTACACTATTCTGTTCGAAAATTTGCCGATTCCTATCCCCCAACCTAGCATTTCAATGTCAACTGATCCTTATAGCTTCTTTACATATATCTTGGTGTTTCTTAATCAATTTAATCATACGATTTTATTTTTTAAATAATAGTGTGTGAACTTAATTTTGGAGCTCTCCCCTTGGTTGAGTAGTAGGACCACCCTCCAGCGTTGACTCTATGCAATTCAACAGGTTCATACAATATTTATGAACAGATATTGTATTGTGATAGAATCAATATCACTCAACAATAATAAAAACTATTTCGAAACCGTGTAAGTAGAAAAAAGAATAAATTTCATAAAAAGTCCATTTTAATTGGTTTTCTCCACGTTTAGTCCACAACCCACAACTAATACTGTTGGTGGTTTTAAGTACTTGAGAACACATCCACCAAAGATCATCCTTTAATTGACCGTTAAATTAAATAGTAACTTTCAAAAAGACGAACTTTGTTACATCCCGAGTCAATAAAAATAAAATCATAAAAAAAACATATTTTAGTTTACATAAATACTGATATCATGAACGGATATTACATTCTAATATAATCAATAGCACTAAAAAAATACTGGAGTATTTAACAACACCTCTATAATTATAGACACACTCTATCCAATCCCATTTTTCTCATCTTTATTGAAAACATTACACTCTCATTGTCTCAAAGACTCATTTCAATTTCATTTCAAGGGCAAAATCGGAATGGCAAAAATATTTTAAAATTTTTCTTAATTTGTATCAAGTCAATGTGTGACTCCAACTATTGGAACGGAAGAAGTATAATTTTTTAGGCATGCCAAAATACATTTCACATTTTATTTTTTGTCCGTCCCAAAATAAAATACCCATTAAATTAATCAGAAGAGTGAAAGTGAGACTTACAATGGCATTGAATCCATAGCGGAGATTCCCATTCCAATTCTCCAAATCGTAGGCGGCGAAGTGTTTGCAGCAAGCAGAGGCTTGAAGATGGTTCGCCGCCGTCCTTCCGCCGTCGAGGGTGTCGCCCTGCAAGCCTCGGACGTAAGCCACTGCGTATTTCCCGGCGACGGTGGGGTCCTCGCCGGGGGTTTCTTGGCCTCTACCCCACCGGGGGTCTCGGAAAATGTTGATGTTCGGTGCCCAGAACGTGAGCCCTTTTGCTTGCCCGGCGTTGTACACGCCCCTTGCCTCTCTCCCAATCACCTGTGCCGCCCAGTTCCATCAACAAATTGTAATTAATCGAATAAAATTCATAATTTGACTAAGCATATCACACATGAGCAACTTTAATTACTCCGTATTAATTACAGTACTTGAGAGTAGATTAAATTTGTATAACATACTAATATACATAATAGAGTTATTAGTGTTTCAAAAATATAATTAAAAAAATTCTAATAATTTTACATAAGATAAATATATGAAATAATTTTAATATTAATATCCAATGATGTACTATTTTTATTTAATAAATGATTAAAATTTATCTAGTTGACTCGAAAAAGTCGAACAAGACAAATACTTTGAGACATAATTTTTTTAATACGGAGTACATTTTGTACTTTGTAGAGTAAAGCTACTATAATTTTTTTTATCATTTTTATTAAAAAAAATCTTTCTAGACAAGAGTAAAATATAGGTAAAATACCAACATAATAGTCGTGGGGTTTAATTCTCAAAATATAAATGTTATGACAACGTGATAAAAAAGTGTCACTGGTAGCCACGCCGGTAGAGCATTAGTCAACGTTGTTCACTGGCCCTCGGGCGATCAAAGTGACAATGTAATTATGATCACTCTTGTTTGCCAACAACAATGTAATTTATAAGAAATTATTAATATACAATTTTTTAATACTCTGAGTAATTTTTACTTTTTATTTTCTCATTTCATTTTTTGAAATTTTTATTTTTTAAATTTTATTTTTTTAGTATTTAATTTTTTTAACTTTTGTTTTTATTTTTTACATATATTATGAAATATCTTTTAAGAAAAATGATTTTAAAAAATTATTTTTCCTAACAGCCAAGTCCAAATGTTACTCCCCTTACATTTCAGATTTTGGTTTTTCGGATCAAAATGCCAAGTGAAAAAGACATTAGCCAAACAATGTTTTTGGCTGTTCGCTTAGTTAAAAAAGTCAAAGTCAGTCAAAGATGCCAAAAGTTATCCGAAAAGTTGTTTTCCAAACACGGCCAATAAGTAAATTTTTACTTGATCTTAAAGTGCATCTTCATCATTTTAGTGATTGATATTATAAAAAATTGGTCTTTTCGCAAAAAAAAAATCTACTTGTCCGTCCAAAAAATTCCCAATGTGGACTTATAACCACAAGAGAAAAACTGTACTCGAGGTAATAATGAAGTGAGTTTGAGCGAATTACCCGTGCAATGCGGTACCAAAGCTGTTCGTCGAACGAAGCGGCGGAGAGAATGACTTGAGGGAAGCTGGTGGCGGCGGCGATTTTGCCGTTGAAGGAGATCCCCCTTCCGGTGTTGGCAACCCCGTGCAGAGCCTCGGACCACCACTCGAAGGCCGGGATGCCGAGGCGGGGAATGGCGGCCGCCGAGCTCACAAGCTGCCCGATCTTCTCGTCCAGAGTGAGGCTGGAGACGAGATCTCTCACTCTGTCTCCGATGGGCCGCCCGGTTCGGCAGAAGCTGAAGGATTTGGTTCGCGGATCGGACTGGTCGCAGGAGAAGGGCTGGGCGGATAAGAATGGAGGGGTGAAGCAGAGTAGAGCTGCTAAAATTAGGCTGTGGAGTCTCATGGCTCTGCTATCACTTCGTTTTCCTTAATTGAGGAGATAGAATGATAGATGGGTGAGGGTGTCTCGAGTAAATATATGGTATCCGATATTTACAAGCTAGTTTGACTTCCTTTGACTTTTTTTGAAGTTCAATTATTTTTAATCTTTGGCTTATAATTAAATACAGACTAGAATATATATGATGTATTAATTATATGAAATACTCCGTAATATTTTGAAAATATTTTATAAAATTATTTTATTAAAATTATTTTTGTATCAATAATATTATTTGCCGATTTTGATTGAAAAATAAAAAATAGACATATATACTTCAAAGACGAAGGTAGTATTAGATATTGATACAAGAATGATTTTACTGCATTTATGTTGTGAAAAGTTTTTTAAAATAGGGAGTTATGATTATTAAGATTTATAGACATGAAAAATAAATCACATGAATCACACGTTTTTCTTTAAAATAATGACATTTGTTTTGGAACTTTTATAAAAGAAAATGAAAATTATTTTGAAATGTCCATTCTATTGGTTTCATTGTACCGAAAAAAATACAATGCTAGTGTTCTCATTTAACAAATACTTTTGTTATTCTATATATATATATATATATATATATATATATATATATATATATATATATATATATATATATATATATAAAATTAAATTCAAATTCATACAGCTTTCAGTGTTCATCTACCGAAGCTAAAAGTATCTGGTGCAAAAACAACACGTTTTATTTGTCTTAATAAGTTTTACTTGCATTTTTTGTGTGATTAATGCTTTCAGTGTACGATTTTTGCAATATTTGGAATCTCGACAATTTAAACTGATGCAATATGAAACTCTCTTATTCTACGACCACCCAAATTCGTCCATGTTCAAGGGAGTAAACATCTCATATGGTTTAAAATTACCATAAACCCCTTTTTTTCCAAAAGCACACAAAAGAATGTCTGCACTAAAAGGATCAATTCCACATATACTCCAAAGAAAACAAAAAAATTAAAAAAAAAATAAACAAAAACTTGATTGATGATGAACTTGCAAAAAAACTAAATACGCCGTTGCTTCTTGCGGCGACAACCATTATGTGGACGCCGTGTTGTGTCCTCAATATAAACCACCGGGTTTTTATCACCCCGAGAGTGGTTGAACCCCTCCTTGAAGCTCAGAATCGTCTGCTTCTTCCTCTTAAAATAAGTGAATCCGTTCACTTTCATCACCACAGACTTCAAGTTGCGGTTCCTTGCTTCGCGCCCAATATGTTCTGCAGTTGACTCTGCAGCAAAGCGCGACACTTTCCCACCAGGTGCCAAACCCCCTGCAGTTGCGCCGAACTTCCTGTTCCCCTTTGAATCAGTGACTGTGATGAACGTGTTGTTGCGCAGAATCTTGACATGAACAATGTCTGGGTCGGTCTCCACTTGGGACTGGCGAAATGAGTTTCCACTGAAAGGGGAGAAAGAGTTTGGGAAGTTTCCCATTTCGCCCAGGATTTCCCGGGCAACATCCATGGATTTGGAACGGTTTACGGCCTCACCTTCGTTTTCATGCCCAGAATCTGCCTGAGAGGTGGTAGGAAACGGAGTGCGTGTGGGGTTGTTTCTCAAGCCAGCATTTCCAAAGCTTGGGAATTTGTGGTAGGGAGGCACGTTTCTTTTGTTATTCCCTGCAAAAGCATGTTTGGTAAGGTACAACCAATCAAAAAAAATATACTGATTCCATAATACAAAAAAAAGTGCTACTCCATACATCACGAAACAGATTCAATTTTTCATATAATTTGCAAAAGGAAACACATTGCAAACAAGTCCAGTGTGATAAGTTCTGTAACACCAGAAAGCTAAATCTTTACTGTAATATATAAGATTCTATGAGTTTTAAGAGTTTGATTTGTCAAATTATTAAAACTGTACCTTGACAAATATTAAAATTTGACTATATAACACACGAATTGCAAACAAGTCCAATGAGAACTGTTGGACCCTAACGAATTGCAATACACATTTTTGGAATGGCTGCACTTATACACTTAACAAAATATTGTCTCCCACAAGCAGCATCTTTATCCCATAGCCTATCTCCCGCTGTTGCAAACAAAATACTTGACCGAAAAACATTGATAATAGTAAGAGGAGAGTAACCCACGCATGGGAGAGATAATGAAGCTTCAAGTTGAACATTACAAGTCCTACGAATGGAGAGTGTGTGTGTATATACACACTTTGATCATCAAAGTGTAGGCCTATCTGAGGATATGGCCTTAGATAGGAACCTTTGGAAAACTAGGATTAGAGTAGTTGGATAGGAGCTCGGTGTTGTAGAGATTGTTTTGTAGTGTGTTGTATTTGTTTAGAATCTTTTGCTATTGCTTGTACTTGTTGCTTGTACTTGTTGCTTGTACTTGGCGCTTTATATGGGCTATATTGTGTTCCCTTCCATATTTTTGTGCAGGTGGAGCCGGGGGTCTCTTGGAAACAGCCTCCCTACTTCCGAGTAGGGGCAAGGTCTGCGTACGCACACCCTCCCCAGACCCTACTATTGTGGGATCCAACTGGGTTGTTGTTGTTGTTGTTGTTGATCATCAATTAAATAAAAATTACATTGGATATTAGAACAACAATGATTTCATTAAATTTATCTTTAAAAAAAACTATCAGAAATTTATTTCATTGTATTCATATGTAATGCAAATTCTTATGTAATTGATGATTAAATTTTGTCCAATTTGACTAAAAAAGTAAAATTGTGTGAATACTCTTAGACATATGAAGGTTGTATCCTGGGGCCCACTTAGGATGCAGAGACGATAATTCAATCCATTTATGAAGACGCAACATTTGTCAAAAACTATCTGGAACTAAAAGTCGCGAAGTCTTTTTTTAAAGGTAAAAGTCTAATTAATACTCCATATGATTAAAAAAACGGAGTACAAATTATGGACCGAAATGCTAGAAATACGGAGTCGGGTCTGTCTCTACTTGGGATTAACAAAATGATTATTCCTTGAAAGGGGAAAAAGAGCCCGGGAAGCTTCTCAATTTCCCCCAGTCCCCTAGCAAAATCCATAGATTTGGAACGTTTTATGGCCTCACCTTCGTTTTCATGCCCAGCAACTGTCTGAGAGGTAGTAGGAAACGGAGTGCGTGTGGGGTTGTTTCTCAAGCCAGCATTTCCAAAACTTGGCAACCCGTTGTAGGGAGGCATGTTGCCTTGGTTATTCCCTGCAAAGCCTGTTGGTAAAAAATAATGCAAAAAATGTGCTACTCCCTCCATCCCATGGAAAAATTTCTGATACTTCGGTTGTGTTTGGTTGGGGGTAAAATATTTTCTTTGAAGAATATTTTCCGAAGGAAAATTAGTCTTCAATCATATAATCCATTGTTTGGTAGGAAAAAATTTTCCTTCCACTAATGTCACCAAACACATGAAATGGAATCAAAATTTTCCTGAAAAATATTTTACGCCCAACCAAACACACCATTCATAAAACAGATTCAAGTTTTCATATAGTTTGCAAAAAGAAACGAATTGCAAACAAGTTCAACGTGATAAGTTTAGTATGACCAGGAAGCTAATACATAAGATTTGGTGACTTTTAAGAGTTGGAGTTGCCGAATTTTGACAATTGTACTTTGACCAAACATGAATTCTTTTTTGTTTATTTTCTTGAGTGATAGAGGGAGTGCATGTATCAATTATCATATGGGAACAAAACAGAACACCATCTACATGGTAAGGAAACAATGTATCCTCTTCCTCCCTAATAAACTCCACTTTCACTATTGTCAACCTATATTTTGTTCTTTAGTTATTCACATCAATCATTTGTTAGAATAAAATAGCCGCATCACATATGGTTTTATGGAACTCTCAATGAACTTCTCAGATATTAAAATTTTATAAATAAATATTAAATCAATATCTAAATAAATTGAAATTAACTTCAGTTAAACATCTTAAACACAAAAGTGAACTTTATCTAGGGACAAAGGGAGCAAGTAATATTCACTTGGATTTCTTGAAGGGCAATACCTGCACAAATTAATTTAATTCTTTCAATAGCTTGGCTTTCCTACATATATTTTATATACAAGTCATTGTCTATCCCAAAACAAACAAGGCCTCGTGATTTTCCTCTCCAGAATGACTCTTCTAAAAAAAACTTTACAAGTAAAACCCTTTCAGTGAAAATGGAAGAACATTCATGGCCATGTCAAATAAGAAGAGTACTTTTCTTAGAGGCTAACATCATTAATTTTAATTGTAAAGCAAATTATCCATAAGAAATAAAGGCAACGCACACTTTTTTGTTCCCTACACCTTATCTACATACTTTGGTATCATTCTTCATATATGTCAGAACCATATATATACATACATACATACACACACACACACACAGATATATATATATATATATATATATAGTTTTGGGGGGCTTTAGCAAAACATACTCTCAACATCACAAATCTGGTGAATGGGCAAGGAGTCCACCTCAAAACTTAATGAGTAAAATAGCATTGACATTCGAAGCAATTTAATTCCCATTAGATGCATTTAAGCAACATTTTCAGAATCAAGTGCTCATTTGGCAATGCACATAAACCCCGATAATTTGACATTGAGAATTTCTTCATTTAGTCAGATTTTAGTTTTACCAAAAAGAGATGTAAGAGCATGCCTTGGAAATGTACAATTTAAGATGTTTTGAGCAATTGTATCTGTTTTTTCAAAAGCTAACCTTTTTGGGATGATATATTATAATTGGAAAAGAAAATATCAATCAAATTTTTGTTATCTTAGAGAAGTTGGGACTTTATGGCTTATGATAATTTTTAAACAATTTATCTTTCCATATGTACTACACCACATAAGAGCTAAAAATTTTTTGCATCCAAACAAAATTAATTACTCCGCATATTTAAACTACCACCACTCAGTAAACATTACCTAGACAAAAAATCAATTCTAATAATGATCTATTATGACAATAATAGATTATTATACAGTTGGTTATTGAAATAATCAATTTTAAGCCATGCCAAACGCACTCATGTTTACATCAATCGCAACAGAAATATTTTGAATGAGTGGGAGAAAGAAAATCTATAAACCCGCAATGAATTCAGTGAAGTAATTGACTAATTACTTCAATTTGACAACACACGTTCAACATACTAGATAGCATAGGCAAATGCATACACACATATAAGCATGCATATAAAAGCTAGAATATGGGAAGTTGCCTGATAATCGCCCTGATTCATCACGGGGAGGCATTGGCGGCGGCTTAGAAAAGCTGGAACTGCAGAAGAGAGCATGGAGGGGCAGAGGCCGGTTAGATCTTGGTCCGAAGATCTGAGAAACCTGATTGATAATGCCATTATGTATAGATGGATGAGAAAGGGGACGCCGGATGAACATCGTTTAGCGTTGTTGGAATTTTCTGGATAATTGGTTAGCTGCAAAAACATAGGATACTGTAAGATGTGCAGGGTTTGTAGGGTTCTGCACCATTCGAGCTCGGGAATAATTGTATCAACACAATTAACAAATGCAGAAATGAACACATCAAAAAATGAGATTTGTACGTATCAACACTTAAAACTCTTCAAAATAAACGTTTACAGTTCACTATTAACACATTGACGAACCCTAATAGAAGATCTAACGAACATAAATCACAATTTACAAATAATGGGAGTATAGACAGCAAGATGTACCCTAAAAGCCCGTTCGAGCTCCAAATCTGGAAGCCGCTTCTCCTTTGTCAGTGAACTGCATCAGTTGCTCTGTCCGCCGCCGACCGTCGCGGTCTTCCGTTCACCGCTTTTCTGTTCGTTCTCCCGATATGGATTTTGATTAAAGGATCCCTGTAAAGAAGTTTACCAGAAGTGTGAAATTGAAAATGTTTTACGGGAAGTTGTAGGTCGCGCATTGTAAAAATCTCTAGATTTGGATCTAGATGGGCTACTGTTTTTTAAGCACAAAATGGGCTAGTGTTAATGTAAAAGACTAATTAAATACTCCTCCCGGCCTAAAATATTATGTCCGGGGTTTAGTAGGTTTTTCTAAAATTATTTTTAATTTAATTTATTTGATTATACATGTAAAATTAAAAATAAAATATTTATATATTTAAATTTATTTGATTATACGTGTAAAATTAAAAATAAAATTTATTTTTTTAAACACTACATCAAAAGCTCCACAAAACAAACGATGACAATGATTATATTATTTTACTCCGTATCAAATGACCATATGATTAAATTATTTATATGATGCTAAGATCCCAACGCATTTTTACAAACCTTAGTATATAAATATTATCGATGAATTGAGTTCTTTGAAAAAATAACTCATAAAAAGTGTGTGAAAAACAACATTTCACATAATGTAGATCTTAGGATCATATAATCATAAGTCATATCATAAACATTGATATATCAAAATTACATTTTAAAATAAATGTAATTATATTAAATTTACATTGTAACTATTTTTTCATAATTTTAGTCAAAAATCGTAAAATTCCTGTAAAAATCATTTATGGACTAAGAGAGAAGTTTTTTATACTTTAATTCATTATGGATCCGTTTGATACACGGAATTGACATAATTGAAATTAAATTAGGAGTTGAAATTCTATAGAATTGATTTGAAAAAAATTAAATTCTCCAATTCCAATTCATGTTTGGAACTACTAATTCTAAATCCACATATTTTTTGTGTTACCAAACAACAGAATTAGAATTATTATCCCCCATTTTAATTCTATAATTTAAATTTCGTGTACCAAATGGAACCTATATATTGTTGTACTCCATATATATTTAATCAAAGTACAACATACAAAACCTAAATAGACACGGAGTACTTAAAAAACGAAGGGAATATCATGTCTTCGTGCATTACTTTAAAAGATTTAATTATTGGATTGCATGTTGAAAGAGACTCTTGAAAGAGAATGTATATAGGCATAGTTCTTTATTTATTTATTTTTTTACTTTTTGTCATCCTTTTCACAATATACTTTAACCTTGTTTTCTTTGTTTTTTTAAGATATGAGTATGACAAATTTTCTTTTTCCCAAACACGTTTTATATATGTGTATTTCACTTTTAATTATTTTCTCTTTAAATCGTGAAAATACTATTATCAAGAGAGTATTTTGAAGTCTCCCAAGGTCACTGAGCTTCTATGTTTTCATTTAAAGATTAAACTACACTCTATTTATTTTTTTCGCTAAACTGACACATTGAAACTTCGGGAGTGCTAGGTCAATCCCACTTGGTATACACCGATTTACACAAAGGTAAAAATAGATTTTGAGTGTGTGTGTATTTTTGTCTTGGTGTATACTTGATATTTACCTAGTTGGATTCTCGAAGTATATTTTCGTAAAACTCTTAATTCTTGCTTTTGATAAAGTTTCTGATATGCGGTATTGTTCAAACCTGTCTGTCACCCGCCTGTCCACATCACTACTCATTCCCCTTTATCCCTCTTCCGCATCATGTACTTTTAATATTACATCACTTACCCATTCAATTTTCCTTACCCTTCTCTAATCATTCCTTTACTTTTTTTAAATTTTTTTTCCACATGTCATCTCTTCATTTGTACAAAGAAAATAAAAAAAAGTAATTAGCCAATAATTTTTTTCTCTCTAGAGGAATAATATTTCCCCCTCCTCATCTCTCTTTTCTATTCCCCTCTCCTTTCTATTCATTTTTCTCTTCTTTCCTCTTTCACATCATCTTATTCCCCTCTTCATTCCTCTCCATTAGTGATGCTCTAAGGTGCCCTTATCTATGGGTGCACCCATTAGCCTTCTTTTATTTGTTTTTTTACAGTGGCTTCTTTTGGTGTAATTGTTAATCCGTATGATGCAATTTTTAATGCAATTTCAAGTTTGATGGACGTGGATAAAATATTTTAATGCAATTTGAACTTTAGTTGTTATTTTGTCAATTATTTTGGCTTTTTTCCAATGGCTAGTTTGTAATCCCATTTATTTTAAATGCAATTTAATTTTGTTTAACTATTTATTTATTCCATTCAATTTAATTTATTTATTAATAAAAAGAATTTATTTGTTCATAAAATAAAAAAAAATGATGTTGTGAATTTAAAAAGAGAGCATGTGGAAAGGATAGATATAATAGTGTGGAAGTTATAAACTGTTTGTGAGAAAGATGAGAAAAAAACTGATGTAACATGCTGAGTAAGTCTGCATGTATGAAGAAGATTGTTACCATTGTGGGCAGTCTTATAGATGAAAGGTCACATACATCTTACTCCGTAAGTCTTAACTCTCTAGTTCCCAACGGAGATGAGGATTTGGTACACAATGTAATACGGCGTAAAAACTCATATACATTGATACATACATTATCCATTGTTTATTAAAATTTTCAAGAATTTTGAGCATTTACCAACACTATTTTAACTTTTAACCATATCTTTTCAGGGGAGTAATAAAAGAGAGCACAATTCATTTATTAAAGGTAGTCAATTTTTTTAGAATTAGTATGTCACTAATATTCATCTTCATATATATATATATATATATATATATATATATATATATATATATATATAACCCTAGTTAATGTATTTCATTGGATTGTTCACACAACAAACATAATGGATATGGAAGATGATGCATATTGTTGGTTGTAGTGTTACACACTACTCACAACAACAATTTACACACACAAAAAACACATCATTTGCAACAGCACCAAGGGGCAAAAGAAAGTACAAAGGGAAACAAATGTTCCAATGGTGACAATATATTTTCGAAAAATGAGCTATTGAGTTCGAACCGCCACTTATAGAGATCATGTAACTGCATCAAATCAAACACTTCACAATTGTTCGTCTAGAGCCGAGAAGAAATGTGTTCGGTGATCTAGCCTGCTCCTAGAAGTCGGCCTCCAGAAAATTTTGAGAAAGAGTTACCTATATATGTCACAATAAAACACACCGTTATACAAAAAAACCGTACACCCTCATTACTTATAATAGATGTGGAATTTATGTGGAGGTAATAATCAAATGCACTTTTGCATTAGTGTTTTACGAGGCATAACTAGACACACAAAAAAATCCATTTTTCTGAGCATATTTTAATTATTTTTTCCTTTCCATACTTTTTTCCCGTGTTCTGAGCGTGTCTAAATGACATATGCCATCAGAAGAGAAACATCAGCAATTTTCTTATGTAAAAGAACCGAAACGGAAATGGAAGGACATTAAAAAATATTAGATATATGAATGAAATTTAAGAGCATTTTAATTATGTATGCACCTTATCACCAAGTTTGAATGGAGGAAGTCCTCTGTAAGGGCATGTACCACAACGGAAAGCATCACCTAGACCACACTGCAGAGAAGAAGGCACGAGTAAGCAATTCTCATCTATTAAGACTTCAAATAAAAGGCAAGTTAATACAAGAGGAAAAATCATATAATACTACATAATGGTTTTGTGAAATATTGTAAGAGTGTGAAGCCTGGTGGTGGGGCGGCGACAAGCAAGTCACCAGCCGCCAAGGCAATGGGAGCTCAGATGAAGGACAGAGATGGGAAAATGGAATAGCTTGAGTGTATTGTTTCTCAACGTGCGAACACGCACACTACACTTTACTGGGTAGGTTGTTGATGTTGCTGTTGTACAAATGGAGAATGTATATATGTGTGTGTGTGTGTGTGTGTGTGTGTGTGTACGTATGTATGTATGTATGTATGTATGTATGTGTGTGTGTGTGTATATATATATATATACGTGTTATTTCTACATGAAAAAATAAGTATACATCATCATTACACAACACAGATGGAAACACATACATGCTTTGTGTGACACCATGAAGATTTCTCAGTTCAATAACCTAACCTATATTCTCACTCTCTCCCTTAAGCTACAGCATACAATGCTCCAAACCTTGACTAAGCATAATTTTTAATGAAGTGAAAATTGTGTGGTTGAAATTTGTGTATAGGAGAGAGAAACAATATCGACCACATATCGTATTCCAAAATATACACATGCACATTAAATTGGGAAAAAAGAGCATACAATATAGATTGGGAATGAGAGGGAGTAAATTAAACCAAGACGCTCCAAAGTTGCATGGATCTGGATTCTTCAGGGTCTTCTACACTTCCCCTTAACAGAAACTTCCCTTTAGAGAGAGAAAAAGACAATCAGATGGAATCATGTAGCAATCCGTATTTCTTTATGACGCACATGTAATCTGAGTTCGGAAGGAATATCACTTGATTATGATGCATTTTGTAGGTGATCGAAGAGAGGGAAAAAGAAAGGCACATCAGTATCCTCATGTTGGAAAGAATTGTTCACATCAGAATGTCAACACGGCGTAGAAAGATAATGGAAGAGAGAGAGAGAGAGAGAGAGAGTAAAAGAGGGTCAAAAGTTGGTTCTTGGAGCAAATGAACGACAAAGATTCGGTTGGCACGTGAGGAGGCAGCAGGGACAGAGAGTGGTGCGTTGGTGGGTGGCCGTCAAATTTTTCAGGTATGATTGATGGCCAAAGAGGAATACATCTAAGTAGATTGTGTCGTCACTCGTCAGTACATGGCTGCGGAAAGTGACCTGGCGAAAAATGGACTGCGTCTTCATATGCATCGGTGGTATGTGGAGACGTGTAGAGGTGGATCCAATGGTGGACTTTTTGGCGGTGGCCCGCGGCGGTAGGCCGAATAAAACAGAAGCACTGGATTTGACAAAACACTACTAATTGGGAAGGAAATGGGCCAAATGGCCACTCGCGAGAAAGTGGAAGATGTTTGTACCTAGAAAGGCACCACACATGACAGAAACGATTGGGCTCTGATACCATGCCAAATATTGTGAGGGTGAAAAGCCTGGTGCGCAGAGTAACCAACTGTCATGTGTCATTGCAACACAAGCTCAGATGAAGAACGGAGAATGAAATAGCGTGAGTATTTTGCTTACGATATTTCCAAATAGAGGAGATATCCATATCTTTAAACATGAAAAAAGAGAATAAGTCATCATTGCACATGGCTTCACACACATGCTTTGAAATATTAGGATATGGCATACATTTTAAAGCTTTTCTCTCCACGCACACACACACACCTTCCTAGTAACTTCCTAGCTCCCTTTATAGTACTTCCCCAAATGTTCTTAGGCCCCCTTTTATACCTACCGCGTGTTAGTATTCATAATTAATCAAGGTATATTCCTACGTAATAAACTAATATAATTCATACTACTGTCTTCATGAAGCTGCAGTTTCTCTTATATTGTTTCTGCTATCTAGTGCGTGACAGCCCACTAACATCACTCTTTAGTCTCCTAATATAACAATTTGTCATAATATTGAACAATTTTCCTATCAAACAAGACCGAGGTAGAAATTAGACCACGTCTTATAGAACAAATCCCCGGTTTTTTTTTATTTCTTTACTTTCTGACCATGCAAATTTAATACTCTACTAATCCTCACTAGATAACCATCTTTTAGTCACAACATGCCAGGAGATAAATATAATGTGCACGAATAACATAATAAGTTAGTTTATCATACACTGCCGCAGGAAGACTGGGGATTATTAATCTGTTCCGTGGTCAACTCAAGCTGCACCTTAGCTTCTAATTCTGCTCGACCACAACTACAGTTTTTGCAGGCTTTCCTAGTGGTCCCTACTTCACAATCACCAACTGGAAAACCACGATCACAAGTAGAAGTTAGAAATTAGGTTTTTAAAAATAGTAAATTAAAAAATTTGATAACCATCTTGATATTTACCAGTGGGCAGTTGAGGTTTCTTCAGATCTTCATCTGTTAGAAGGCTATCCTCATCAATGAGATCTGCGTCGTCATTTATCTGAACTTTGGGCAAACTCTTTGCAGCCTTTTTAATAGAGAAGGATGAACCAATATTCCATGAAGGCCTCTTACCAGTAACCTGCGAAATATCAGTGCATAAGCTAATTACAAAACTTGCAAAAAATACAGCATTGAATTATGCAAATATAACTAAGGCATTATAATGGGTTGGGTAGCGGTCATTGATCAAAAGATCAATGATAAATGATTGGATCTCTCTCTCTCAAGCTGCACAGTAAACAAAGGTGCGGACATAGGGACATTTATCTTACAAATAAGCTGTGCATCCCAAAGAGCAAGGAAAGGAAAGAAACAAAAACTAAAATGCTCAAAATAAGAGATAAAGCGAACTACTAAAGAAGTAAGAAAGTCTTACCCCAAAAGATTGGGCAGATTCAAGTGATTGTACATCCATGAAGCCTGCCAAAAGCAACTTCCGCTCAAGTGTAGATTTCAACTGCAATGCATATTAACCAATGAGCCTTCATACAAACAGTCATGTAGGAACTGATATGCACAAAGGGGGATAGTTGAAACAGTGTAGATGGTGTAGTCAACATACCATTGTCTCTGTAGCTGAAAGAGAAGTTGGCTTGAGCAAAACCGTCCCACCAGGTTTCAACACTCTTGTGACAGCTACAAATAACTGATCACTGGGAAACTCAGATGATTTGAATATAATGACAATAATATCCACAGTAGAAGATCCCACTGAAGTAATGCCTGCAAGTAGTTGAGAATAAATGTCAACACACTAAAAAAGTGAAATTTTAAAATAGGCGCATAGTTTATACTCCCTCCGTCCCCAATTTGATTGCAAATTGGGGTTTACGAGGAGAAACATCTCACTCTTTGAAATGATTTTATTTACAAATTGGTATATCGATAAGAAATAAAAATTACATATTAAAAAACTACGTCAAAAGTTCTACAAAACAAGAGGTGACAAGAATATTTTATTTTATCAAATACTTAATGAAATCGTGTAAACAAACAAAAGTTATCAAGAGGAGAGAGAAAAAGAAATTGTAATCAAATTGGGGACGGAGGGAGTATTTAAAAGTTAGACGGATAATGTTCAAAAAAAAGTTAGACGGATATAACATAACCATATTTCAAAAGAAATAAGTTGAAACACGTGAGAATAAGTGAACATCTCTGGGCTCCTCACTCTCGCACCATAATACTATTAATGCTTGAGAAGGAATATCAAGTAAGATCATCAAACAAATCTCTAACAAATTATGTCCCGAGTAATCGAGTATAATCTACTAAGTTGTTATCTTACTACAGCATTAAGATAAAATCATTGTACTTGTAAATTGTATGAATCATTTGAAACAATGTCATATACTAAACTTAAGCATAGTGACTGAAACAGGTGAACATGAGATCATGAGGATAACAAATTGTGAACTGAAAACAAATTTAAATAGTTTCAATAGGTTAGTTAACTTGTTTGCCTAAAATTACTGTTGATAGGTCCGAGGCTGGTTAATTAAGTAAGATTGTAGTATTTTAATGATTGCATTATCTAATCAAGTGTTGAGTTTGTTTATTTATCATTTAATAATTCTGTAATCCTGCGTAGCGGGAGGTTTGAAGTAAGTTGTTCCCACTTAGCTAGTGGAAGGTGGCAAAATAAGTTATTGATAGTAACAGAAAGTTAGAGCCACTTTGTATAAATAGACCTCTAGTCATATGGAATGGATAAATGAATTATTGGACTGGACTCCTCTTGGGTGAGATTCTTGCTTAAGAGCTTCTACTATATTACGGAGTACATCCTTTAGTTTCTTATTCTTGTTTTCTAAATCCTAATAATTGAAACTGGTTTCTACCAACCGCATGTGCTAAACTTGTTAAAATGACTTGACTGAATAGAAAATGGTATTTGGTGCACAAGAAGTGGCTCACAAAGGTGATCATCAAGTTTGAGTCTACGAAAGAGATGATACATCAACAGTAGCAATTTGTAGCACAAAACAATATTGGCATATCTTGATTGGAAACATGAGGCAGAAATAAACACACACTTTCAGAGTATAAATAAATTAAAGAGGAAATCACTACTCTGATATGAAGCCTGCGTGATGATCAAAGGATCCAACTTTTCAACCCCTGCCTTCTTCACTATCCCAACTGCACTATGAACGGCAGAAAGTGATACCACAACATCATCTGTAAGAACCAGAATGCTATCAACTGCAGAATCCTGCAATAAGAGCAATAATGCCAAGGCAATACATCAGCAAACAACCCAACTTACTACATACGAATGCTGATACAAAGAAAATTAGAACCCATTGCATAGTGAAACCCCCATAATACAAGTAAGAATACATTCTATATATAGGAACACAATTCGTTTTGCCAATTTTCACACATAAAATGACTGAAGAAAGACGTAACAAAGATAAAAGTAGACTTTATGCGAGCAAGTGTGCATTGGGCCTTGACAATCTCAATGTTTTTTCTAGCTAAAGTATTTGTCAGTTGTTTTATGATTTATTTTAATATTTAGTCTTAGAGGTTTTAAAAAGAAAATCAATGTCTATGGGTAAGTACGAGTTCTATAAATTCATTATTAATGTAAACTGGCAGAATTTCTTAAAAAATTTCTTTTGACTAAGCAATAAAAAACTGGCAGAATTTCTCGATGCAATAGATCCTCTTAATATTAAAAAAAAGGACAAACCCATATTTCTAGAGAACAAAAAATAACAGCCGAATAAATCCGTTGGTAAAAATTTATAAAAATCGCAATTTTGAATAATAGCAAAGGAAAAACAACTCTGAAACGGTGAAAATAAGATCTGTAGAGCGGTACCCCATATAAACCTTCATAATAGTATGGCTAATTGAAGAGCTGTATAGTAGACGAGTAGTGTTTCAAACTAGAATTGGGACCAATAACAAATTCAGTCCTGGTAAAATCAGATTCGGAATTTCGATCATCTGAAACTTCATTGATCATGAAATAAAAGAATCTACTGATTGTGTTTCATTTATATGAATACTTGAAACAAGACATAATATTTTGATTGACAATATTGAATGAAGTTGGAAGCTTAAGCAGCGAATATGAAGCACGAGCTAGACAAAGGAGAAAAACTGTACCTGAGGATGAGAGTTCATGGAAGAAAGGCGATTAGGGGAACTGCTCTTCTCCATCAATAAGAACTAGAGATCCTGTAGTATTTTTTTTTTATATACTCCGGTAGAAAAAAAGATGAAGAGTCTGATGGCAAAAAACCAATACTCCGTATTTCAGAAGGGGAATTCCTTTCCCTGGTGAAATAAAAAAGGGATACTAGGGTACACCCAAATGTCCCCTAGACTCTTCATAACCATTCATTTTTATTTGATTTTTATTTACTTAATTTTTTTGAATTTTATTGCCTATTTTTGTGAACAATGAGGGTATGGGGGCATTTGGGTACACCTTTAGAGGGTTTTGAATATGAGGAGATTTGATATCTCTCTTGACCATTGATAATTATGAAATTTACACTAAATAGTACTAAGAGCATCCACATTGGATTGGATGGTGGAGTAAAGGGAGGACTACTAGGGAATTTCTTACATGCCTCTAATGAGAGGGCATGGATTCCCTTCTAGTGAATTCTGGTCATGAAGACTTTTTAATCATGTAAATAAATAAAACATTCTACATCATTTTAACTTTTAAAAATTACATAATGACCCCATTTCTTTCCTTTTTACTTATCTAAGGGTCTTTTCTTTTGAATGAAAATTTATTTCCAACAATTTTTTATTCTTTTCAGCTTTTTCAACCACTTCAAGTCTATTCCAATAACAACTTAAGAATTTATTTATTTTTATTTTTTAATAATATTCCTATTACATTCATTGTAATTAGAATTATTACTATTACTACTATTATCATTATTGTCATCGTAATTAAAATAAAATAAAGAACTGAAGTAATAGCACAATTTTCATACAAAAAATATTATTTTTGTCCCAAAAACATATACGTGGATTAGTTATCATTATAGAGTCAACGTAAAATATTAAAATGTTAAATGAATTAATTTATTATATATACATTCCGCTTTGTAATTTTGTAATAATCCATAATTTAGTTTATTTGTTGATTGAGATACTGTTAGATTATTTGTGTTAATTTCTGGTTTAAATAAGATTAATGAAAAATATTAGTACATGGGTTATTGGCATTGAAATTAAGGAATACGAAATAAATGGTTTAACATATATATGAAATTAAGAAAAAAAAAATATATACTACTGATATTAATTTAAAGAGTTTAAAAAAAAGTAATATTAAGTACGAGTAAAAAATATAATCTGGAGTACTACAATACATGTACATGGTATGAAATAAAAATGGTTTAACATATGAAAAAAATTTAAAAATAATTAAAAATAAAGGAAAAATTATTTTAATAAAATATTAACTTTCAAAAATATATTACTCATTTCAACATTTTTTTTCTTTTTTTCAAAATTTTATTTTTTTTCTCCAAAATTTTCTTCCAATTATTTTCATTTCCTTGCATTTTTTTTGAACAAAAGCACACTTTCATTAATAATCACAAAACCAGTTTATACAACATCCCATACAATTCATTTGTACTCACTCCATCATTATATTCTAGGGAGTAATACCTTTTCTTCCTTCCCCTGCTCGAGTATGTTGTTACATAATATATTACTCCATTGATAATGTCTTCCTCCTTTGCACGCTCTTTATTGTGAAGTAATTTGTTCCTTGCTTTCCAAATTGAGTAACATGTTGCAGCAAAGAGGGCCACTGTCTTCTGTCTTTTCATTTTTTTTCAATTTATTTTATTTTCCTCTAACTTCTTCATATTTTTTCCAATTTCCTCTACCTTATTACAACATCCAATTCTTAAATTTCAAACCAAAAATACTAACAACAACAACAACAATAACAACAACAATAATAATAATAATAATAATAAATCACCCCAAATAGATGTAAAATATAACTTTTATCCCAAAAATATGAGTTCTATGTTTTTATTCTCGAAATAAGAGTTTGCTTTATGACATTCTAACACTGTATATTGGCCTTGTTTGGATGTTGGTTATTGGATGTTGCCTGTTTATGTCAGCTGTTCTGAAGAGTTGTCTAGTTCAGATGGTTCAATCGGCTGGTTTAGTAAAGAAAAATGTTAAATTGACAATTGGTTTAGTAATCTATTTATAAATAAATTCTAAACTTAAAATTATTTATTTACCTAATTACTACTCTGTCCCAATACTCATAGAGTATTTATCGTGTTTGATTTTTGAGTCAAAGTTGACAAACTATAACCATCAATTAAACAAAAGTTGTTTTAGATATTAATACAAATATAATTTGATTAGGTTTATCAAATGGAAAAATTTTAGAAATTTATTTTTATTGTACCAATATCTAACACAATTTTAATGTAATTGATGATTGAAATTTATTTAATTTGAATTTAAAAAATCAAATTGAACTAATACTCGGCATGGAAGTGGTATGAATTATTTGTTGTAATTCACAACATTGAAATGAAAATTAACATTATTTTTATTATTTCACATTGTCTTTAAAAAATACTAGGGATTCATCCCCAAGACTCATCTTGTTTTTGCAATTTGCGATTAAAGTATAACTTATTTTGAAAAAAATCACAATGTGATTATTTTTTTCAAAGAGTAAGAATATGTTTGTAAGCATGATTTTCAAATCTACAATAGATGACAAACAAGGACCGAAAATACATAGTGAAGTCATGTCAATTCACTTTGAGTGACCACGAAGGACATTGTCCCCTGAAGATATTTCGTTTGCAAAATTGATAGTATCTACCTCCTTAACCTTCTCTAAGCAATCAAGTTGCAAAGAAAAATATCAAGTTTACATACCCTTACACACTGTCAAATGCATCCTAGTTGGGCCTAGTTGATGGTTGGGGCCGTGGACAGTAGGCCGACTGGCCAAAGTGTTCCTATCCACTAGGGCCAACGTAAACCATTTTCTGCTGGGCCTGAATGGGTAACGTTACGGCCTAGTGTTAAACAGAAAAAGGAAAGCTCTCTCTCCACCCCTGATTGGAAATGGACTCTCTCGCTGTACTCTCAGCGCCTCTCCATCTCCACCGCGCATCTCTCTCTACCCATTTCTGCCGCCGCCGGCACGGCCTGCTCCGCCACCAACCTCTCAAATCCCCGCCCTTCGCTCTCAAATGCGCTATCGATTCTCGCTCTCCCACGGCCCCGAAACCCCTCACAGGCTCTCAATCTCTGGGCGGCAGGCCGCTCTCTGTTCATCTCGCATCGGCCCCGAGAATGCCGCCCATGCGTGGAGGCGAGGGAGACGCCTTAGGTTTACTCTTTAAGGAGAGGATCGTCTTCCTGGGGAACGAAATAGACGACTTCGTAGCTGAAGCTGTCATGAGTCAGTTGCTTCTGTTAGATTCTCAGGATCCCGCTAAAGATATTAGGCTCTTCATAAATTGCCCCGGTGGTTCTCTAAGGTATATCCTTTCCTCTGAATATATTTGAAGTTCTTACCTTTTGATTTTATATATGAATGTTTTCAGCTGATTTGAATGAATTTACGGGAGTCATCTTCTTAATGTGAGAAATGATGGAATGAGAGTACGATACTTTGTACTTCCTAAAAATTCTTAACACTATGTTTGGTTCAAGGAATTTGAGAGGGAAAGAAAAGAAAATGAGAAAGAAAACATTTTTCTTGTTTGGTTAGAGAGGAAAAGAAAAGAAAAGTGGAAGAAAAAGAAAAAGAGAAGGCAAAATGTACTAAGAGGACGGAAAACCAAATTCCTCCCATTTTGGTGAGGAAAATGAGGGAAAACCATTTTCTTTTCTTTTCCTACCAAATTCCTTGAACCAAACATAGTGTAAGAGTTCGTGACGATTTGAAATTTTGAATTGGTGCAGATTTCAGAGGGGGGCTCATTAGGTACTGACTTTTGAAATCTGCCATTTTTGAAAATGTGTTATTATCCATTTGGGTAATTTGAGCTGAAGGTTTTCAACTCATTTGAATGAATTTATGGGATTCATCTTCTTCATGTGAGAACTATGGCTATGTCCAGGGGAGGAGGTAGATTAAGGTCAATTAACATAGTTAAATGAATGTAAGTAGAGTAGTTAACTTGAGTTAGGTTTAGGTAGATATTGTTTCATAAAAAGTTGTTTGGTTCCTTTTATGGTAAATGAAGCTGGTATTTATACATATTAGCTTAATGCGCATGTGGTAAATCATACTCCCTTGAGCCCCTCCATCTTATAAAAAGAGGTTGGTTTCATCAAGGTACTTTTCAATTTTAGTAAAGGGGGAACATGAGCAAATCTGACTTCATGACACAAATGTGATTGCCTTCTTTGGTACTTTTTTATAAAACATGAAATTTGACTAGTTTTTCACAAATAGGATTGTTTTTTGGGACAAATGCATGCCAATAAATTTGACTCTTTAGGAGAAGGGGGAGTAACATACTAGGCATGAGAAAAAATGAACAAATTCGACTTCATGACTAAAAATGTGATCTCTTTCTTTGTCTTGCCAATTTGGAGTTGACAAAATATGAGGCTTTTGAGGTAACGGCTCAGCCTAACCAGTGTTATCTCACAAAATCTCTTCTCCTAAATGAGGTAAATGAAGTTCAGATGAGAAACTTACCTTCTCCGTCCTCATCACATCTTATACTCCATCCTTGAATTTCATTCTCACTTTCCCTTCTCACGTTCCAAAATTAACTTTTCAATTCCTTTTTAAGAATAGCTGTGTGGTCCATGATATTTGTTCTCATGTGTGTAAATCTCAACCACACACTTATCACCTTAAACTCTCTGAAATCCCACATGGGACTTTAAATAAGAGATGGGGGTAGTATCGAGGAATGATATTAAGAAACATGAATGTTAGTAATGGCAGTAAGTGACATTATTCTAGATTATGAGCTATTTTCATCTATTTTCATTTTGTATGTTTCTTCAAATGAAATTATGGCAGTCCCACGATAAAATTTTGAGTACTTCAAGTGTATTTTATGTGCATGTCAAGCTATTAAGTATGAAAAATATTTTAGCAGCATTGTGTCACAAAGCATTAAGAATATAACAGTAGGAAGGATGAATCAAATTTTACCCTGTAATAAATCACTCCATCTGTTCCTTTTTATCTTTCCTATCTCTTTTTTTGGATGTCCCTAATTAATCTTCACATTTTCATTTAAAGAACTGCATAATTCAGATCAATTTTCTCTCCTCTACAAAAGTTTCAACCACACTATTTTACATGCCTTAAACTCGGTGTAAAAAGCAAATGGGAAGATCAAATGGGGATCGAGGGAGCAGTAAGAGTTTGTGAAAAATTAAATTGGTACAGGATTTCAGAAAGATATCTTAAGGCACTAATTTTTTTTAAATCGGCCATGGTGGAAGGTATGTTAAACGTCGATTTGGGTAGATTCAAGAGCTGTTATAGATGCTCAAAAATAGAAGATGCATTGTATTGTCATCATCATCATCCCAAGTTCCCAACTATTCTGGGACCAGTGTCATGTCATTTGTAGTCTTTGTCATCATCATTATTAGCATCTTAATCCTAATCTGTTGGGGTTGGTCATCGGTGGATGGTAACATTAAACTAATAGTGCTGTTTAATTGTAGAATAAAATTACTAACACATAAATTCATTTGGGAATGCATATTAGCAATGCTTTATGTTGTATGCTCTTCCTGTCACAACTTAATGAGGTAAAAATTTTAACTGTCATCACAATGGATCATCTCTAGATGCATGGTAAATGTCACCATACAGAGTCACAACCATAGTTGATATGATTGCTAGTGTTATACTCTTTCCATCACACGAAGTATTTGTTCAGATTCTTTTTGGCTCAAAGACCAAGGTGATGAGAATCAAAAGAGAAAATGTCCAGTATCCTTAACCACATCCATCTACTGCCCAGCATCTTTAGGCCCATTTCTATGCCACACAACCCAACCAACACCGTTCTCTACAAGAAAACTCAATCCAAGATAAAAAAAACCATTTGTACATTCATGAATAAGAATCAGAAAGGTTCTGATCATTTTGCCCTCAACTCCTCTTTGATTTCATTTGTATACATTCGTTTTCATCAAACATCTGTTTTGCTTCTTGCCAATTCCATTTTTATGGGTTTTGTTCCCACAGTGGGAGATTCTATCAGAGTTATGTTTCTAGTTTATTGATATTCCTTGGAAAGGGGGATTTTCCTTGTGTATCTAATGTATTGATTTTCCGTGGCCAGATAGTAAGATAAGAGTGAAGAAGATAATCAAGAAAGAGAGTAACAGAGCTGGAGTGTTAAGACTTAAGAATAGAATTGGAGGGTTTAATAGACTTTTCATCTCATTTGTGTTTTCCTTAAAAGGAAAGCAAATAAATACTTTGGGACGATCCAAAAAGAAAAACTGGACAAATACTTTGTGACGGAGGGAGTGCTAATTAATTATCGAGAATTAGTTAAAACCTATAAAATTTTGAAAAAGCAGTGTCAATTCGGAACTTCTGGTTTCTTGTTGAATGTCCTTTCTGTCTCAACCTTCTTAACGGAGTAATGAGATATGGGTCATATGGCTATGAACACTTGGTACTAATTATTTTTGCTTCCAAGATTATTAACCATGCCTCTATCTGATTCCCATAGTTTGAGTTCTACTTTTCCGTTTTTAAATAAAAAATCTATAGGCTTGCATTTATGTGCACATTTTTTGTTCTTGAATACACCGTAAATATTTATTCTTAATAATGTACTTGTTCTTTTCAGCGCTACAATGGCTATTTTGGATGTTGTCCAGCTGGTAAGAGCTGATGTATCAACAGTTGCCCTTGGCATTTCTGCTTCAACAGCTTCTTTAATACTTGGTGCTGGCACAAAAGGGAAGCGTTATGCAATGCCTAATACTCGAATAATGATACATCAACCACTTGGGGGTGCAGGTGGGAATGCAATTGATGTAGATATTCAGGCCCGAGAGATCACGAATAACAAACAAAATGTGATAAGAATAATATCCAATTTCACTGGCCGCTCATTGGAACAAGTTGAGAAAGATATCGATAGAGATCGCTACATGTCTCCCATTGAAGCAGTGGAGTATGGCATAATTGATGGAGTTATCGATCGAGAGAGCATTATACCACTTGAACCCGTCCCTGATCGGGTTATAGCTACACTTAGATGTAGTGAAATTGCTAAAGATCCAAAGAGATTTCTTAATCCTGAAATCCCTGATGATGAAATTTATTAGGCTATGTGGCGTTCTTACAGGTACCCATTTTCTTTTCAATACAATTTATTATTATTATGAATTATGGTCAAGTATGCAAACTTGAACTCAGAAACTAGTTAATATTCATGAAGCTATGGACAGTGCAGCAGGTAGCTTCATATACTTGCTACTTGCTAGTTGCTAATTTTCCTTATTTTTTAGATAACAGAGTATTATTAATCCATGTTTCTATCCTGACAATTGATCATAGTTTTCACTGACCCACTAATGTGATATCTACTCCATATTATTAATGCTTCCCCTACATGATACTCTATTAAGCATTCCAATAGCTTATCATCAGTTCATCACTTTACCAAATGAATTTATAGTGGTGATGTCCCTGTAATGCTAAAATCGACATCTTATTTCTTCTGCTTTTTCATAGAAATGGTGAATAATAAAAACTGGCATTTTTATTTTTTGTATGCTTCTTATCTCTCCCTACTGCACAGTTGAAAACTGATTCCTTCCTCTTTATGGTTTTATGTGCCAATCCCACATGTTTAGCATACTGCTGGTAACTACAAAGATCTTTAAGGCAACCAATTTCTTACATCTTACATTTTTTTATGGTGTGTTCTTCTGAACCAGGCCTCACGAACCACTTTTATTGAAGGAGCATTTGATGTGTTTGCAGACTTACCATCATTCGTGTTATTGAAGAAAGCATATGATGCATTTGCGGACTTACCCGCATTCGCGTTCTAGATTTACCGTTGCTGATATATTTCAACCCCATCACACCATTTCTCTTGAAGATTTTGAATTTGTGGTTGTTGACTCCAACATGCTATAAGTTTGTGTAAACGAGATGTTATGCTTTCCTCTAGGAGAGGGATTATTCAATGTATGGTACGTCGTTACTTCAAGGGGAACATGTGTTATTATATTGATAATTATGTCTATTAAAGGGATTGATAAAACGTCTACAATTATGCAAGCTGTGCTAATAGAAACTGCCTTTGAGCTTTAGAGGCAAGTATCCAAAACTGTTTCTTGTTCTTCAGAAATATTGGACATGATGTTAGTTGTGTGAAAACTTGTTATTAATATACAAAGTTATAGGTACTCCGTAACCCCTATAAATTCATGTTATTGTGAGTTTTTCTTCATGAAAACAGCCGATTCCAATATACATTCCTTATTTTATGCTCTTTTCATCTCCCAAAGAAATTTTTGGTTTGACTTTTGCAAAATTTAAGAAAGTTGTTGTGAAGTAAAATATTACAGTATATGGATATAGGAGAGAAACTCAGAAATGTTTACTCCATTTCTTTTCAAAATGTATTTCTAAAGCCCACGTGATTTTAAAATGTTGTACTCACTTCTTTTTTATCCTTTTTGGTCATTTTTCAATGAAGAGGGAGCATTGTTTTCTAAACCATATAGGGTGTTCATGTTCATTTCTTATTTTTTGTTTGTTATTTGGTGTTTTTCCCTTTTTCTAAAACTCGTTTATATCTCTTTGTTTCCTTTCCTAGGAATTTTTTTACTTTTTTTCCCCAATATTTATAATGTTTTAGAAATTGAAAACTCTTTGTGTTTCAAATGAAAATAAAAATAGAAAATTAACATATACTCCTCTTTCTGAAATTAAACATTCACTTTTTATCTTCTAGAATAATGTTTTTGATAAGTTAAATTAGAAAATATAGAATAAAAAAATAAAAAGAAATATATGGAAAAGATAAATGAAAAAAATTGAAACATGCAAACAAAGTCTAATACAAAAAGGAATTTTCAGAGTACCTAGAAAGTACTTTGAATTGGGATGTCTCAAAAAGATATTCATTTTTATTTTTTATTTTATTTTATTCCTCATTTTTTGATGTTCTCAAAAAAAGTTTTAAATTTTTTATTTTTGGAAATAAAAAATAAAAAATATTATTCTAAGACGTACAGATGCAAATGTTACGCAGTAGTTGTTTTTTCAAACAAAAATAATTCTAAATTTTAAAAACATTATAAAAATAATTTTAAAAAAAAAATTTAAAAAAAATATGATTAATAAAAGAAACAACTAAAGGAAAAAAGGGGAATATAAAAAATAATAAAAAAATAAGAAATGAGTACTTGTTCCCCCTATATTTTGGAAAAATAGGCACCAATGCCACTTTCTTTGCTGAAAAAATAGTCAGAAATGATCAGACAAGATATGGATGCAGTGTTTTGAAATCGTGAGAATTTTAGAAATAAATTTTGAGAACAAGTGGTATTCGTAAGGTTGTACCTATTTGCAAAATAATAGGGGGAATTGGTGCTATTTGAGAACAAGTGGTATTCGGCTTTACTAGAAAAATTGTGAGCAACATTTGGCAAATTGTTGAAGCACAATTGGAGGCGGATCTACCTATTGATGTTCAATGCAATTGGAAAGAAAATTGTGGTAGAAAAAGGGTCCCTGTTGACATGGAAAGAATGACAACAATCCCTTTATCTAGATGCAAGAACATTCGTGTACTTAGCTTTGCTATGGAGGTTTCAAAATCCATCGTCCAAAGATGACTAAAGCGCAATAAGATCATGAGACATTCAAGTGCTATTAAGTGTATCTATGTGAGTCAAGTAAGCGTCAAAACTGATGGCAGAAGCTGATAATTAGAAAGGTAGAACAACTAAGTCTACAAATAGGCTACATTTTAACAAAATCATACAATAAAAAAGTATTAGAAGCGAGGACGGAAATGCAAGACATTTTAACAGAGTCCAAGCCACACATGATATAATGCTTTCATATCTATCTCATCTCAATTATGATTAAAAAAATATTACCCCATTTGTTGAGTTTTAATTTTTAAAATCAAGTTTTTTAACATTTGACATTTTCTTAAATAAAAAATATATAATATTATAATGTATTGATTTGATAAAACAATTTTCCAAAAATAATTTATCAAAAAAAATAATTTTCATATCAATATCTACTATCAATATAATAAATTTTAATTAGTGGTATAAGTTTTCCAATTTCGAGTATGGACATTCAAAATTAAACGAATACTCAGAGACTACACGAGTGCAAACAAGGGTTGGCCCGTCTGGCCTGCCCAGTCCGCCCTTTAAAAAGGGCGGATATGAACAACCTTTAATACCCACATGGGCGGTCGGCTCGAGCCCAAATTGTATTTGGGCGGATCTGGAAGTTACTTTTAGCCATCCGGGCCAACAGGCCCGCCCATATTCATCAAAGATATTTACTTTATTATTAATTATCTAGCCAATTTAATTTTGAAAAATTGTTATAGTTCATGTATAATGGTTCAATTCACTCACCTCTCTTAAACAAAAATCAATATTCTTTTAATGAATTAGTATGATGAGTTTATTAATTATGTAACAATACCTCTATTATGTTCTATGTAAATTTGGTGAGTGGTGATTTTATTTTAAACATTGAAAAAAGAGTTCAATGTTTTTTTTGAATTTTTTGTGCAAAAAAAAAGTTTTCTTGGTGTTTTATTTGGGCCGGGCAGTCTGGTGGGCGGGTATGGGTAAAGAGTTTAGCCCATCAAATTTGGGCCGGACTAGACCCGTATATGTAAATGGACTAATAATTTGTATTCAGCCCGGCCCAGATCCAGCCCAAATCCTTATTTGCACAGGTCTATCAGAGACAGAACATAGAGGTAGTAAATGTTATATCAACCAAATTTAAAAAAAGAAAGTGAAAGAAAATATCTCATGATTAGATAAATAAAAAATAAATTTAAAAGTAAAAAATATAATATTGAATGAATTACATAGTATATCATATTTAATATACTCCGTAACTATAATGTTATACAAAAATCTACATTTATATTCTATTTAACATTTTAACTACATACTAGTACATCACCCGTGCGATGCACGGAAGAATATTATTTCAATTATTAGAGAATAATCCGTAACATAATAATGTCGGTTCTATTATTAATGTTCGATTTAGTACATGGAATTTAAATTATGAATTTGATATTATGAAATACAATTCTAATTCTTCTGTTTGTTAGAACAAAAATATGTGCATCACCCGTGCGATGCACGGAAAGAAAAAATGTATCTTAATTGTAAAAAGCATGTAAAATATTTTAAATTACTGGTTATATTAATTTATAAATAGTAAATATGTACGCACTTCTATTTATAAATATTATTATTCATTTAATTTTAAATAGACGTATTAAACATAAAAAAATGTGCTTTAGAACATATTACATTCAATAAATAATATGAGAATGAAGGACAATAAAATGTGCAAATTAAGATCAATCAAACATCCTCAAAAATCATCTTATATAAACATAATATACATGAGTATATTATGTTTTATCATAATCTGCAATGTTTTTAAAAAAATATATCAAATTTTATTTGAATGTTTTACAGTTAATGTTTCTATGCTGTCTTAAAATTTGATATAATTCCTTAAATTAAAATACTATTTTGTCTAAAATTATTTTTGTTTCACATTTTTAGAGATGGAAAAAAGATACAGCAGTATATTTTTGAAAAAGTCTAACATTTGACTTTCTTTGAATAAAGTAATTACATCACCATTATCTTCTTCTTACATAGGATTAGTATCTTCTTCTCACATAGAATTACTGTTAAACCTCAAAAAATTAGATTTTTTATACTTTTAAAGAACTAATTTTAAATACCTTTTTATAGAATAATACTTTTTTATAAAATAATTTTTACAAATCTTAGTTTCTAAGACAAAAAATATTTTTATATTAAAAAAAAACTCTTTTTGTATATAAAAATTTTAAAATATACTTAAGGAAGGGTTTTGGATAGGAGTGGGTCGGAATGGGTCCAAGTAAATATCCAAATGGGTAAAACTTGGACCCAATGTTACATTTTGGGTATTAAGAATTACTCGTAAAAAAATAACTTAGATAGAAAAGGAAGGGATAAGGCTGCTGATATCCATCCACTCATTCATACGACCGTAGTTTTTACGCGAAAAGAGAGAGGGCTCCTCGCCTGTTAAACGCGACCATTGTCGGCGTTTACCGGCGAGTTTGGTCACACGCTCCACACCATCGGAAAGAGGAGGGCCAGGGCTATCGAACACTGTACATCACGCGACTTCTGCTTGCGTCCCGGCGTTTAGGGATACGGCGATACATAGGCAAATGACTCTAAGGGAGGATGAAGTTGCTGACTGGCAGGGACAGGAATGGGAGCTTTACCTCGGCAACTTACCAAAATCTGTTGAAGCTTCACAGGTTAGGGGTGTTCTTTTTTCAAGTAGTAACTTATTTTATTTAAGAAGTGTCTGTTTCAGGCATTCGGCTTTGGTTACTGCAATTAAAAATGCAAGCGTCAATTTTAGGGCTTTAAAAAAAAAAATCCTTGAAGTGATTCTGATGTCCGGAAACTGATTAGTTTCAGAGTTGATACTGAATTTAGTCCCATTGACAATACATCATCACACATTTTGGTCCCTAACTTTCTATTTGACCTAATTTGGTACTCGACTATAAAATTTGGACCCATTTTCAGTATATATGCATATTTGGTAAATACATGACATTAGTGTTCACCAAAATTACACTCAATTTCAGAATCAGTTTGGATCTGTACTATGTAATTTGGACCAGATTTACTCCTCACCATAAGAATGTACATGCCTTAATGAGAGAAAGAACTATGCATAGAGAATAGAGATGGAGTTTAAATTGCATTGTCAAGTGCCAAATGAGTCCAAATTCAGTAAACCCATTCGACTATTTACATTTCTGGTGTTTTAGTGAGTATTGCAAGGTTCCTGTGGCCCCTCGCCATAAAAAAACAACTTTTGAATGGATCAATATCTTCCTGCAAGCCACACATTTATCTGGTAATATTTTTTGCCAAACAATATTGGGGCAGTGGCAATATCATTGGCGTGATGTGAAATTGGGGCAGTGGCAGTTGATTTGTTAGTACATTTTGAAATACTGGCTTGGTTTTACAGAGTAGATTAGATGCCATGTATATGTTTTGTCTAGAAGTGATTGTATATGTTTCTGGTTTTGAGATTTAATGTGGAGCTGCCATGTGTATCCCAATATTCTTAGCCATAGGATCAAAAAATTTGGCGGGAAAATTGATGCATGAAATTGGAACTGATTTTCCATCAGCTTTTATATATATATATATAGTAGATATATTAAAGAACATTGATCCGGGCGGGTGCCCAGTAGGATGAATGTGGATCCGACCCAGTAATAAAACCCGCGCAGGGTAGGGTTGTTCTAAGTGAGAGCCTCCGTCGCACAATCTGCTCTCATTTCGCAGGCAACATGAACACGAGAGAGACGGTGACTGTGCCTGCCGGCGGCGAAGGTTCAACATTTAGTTCCGTCGTCCAGAGCTCGGTGCGTCTACTCCGTAATTACTTTTATAATCCGCAATTATTAGTTTTATTTCCATAAAATTAGTCAAAAGGTTTTCGTTAAATATCCGTAGTTTGTTTTATTTCCCGAAAATCAGTCAAAAGGTTTTCGTTATATACTCCGTAATTGGTTTTATTATTATCCATAAAATTAATCCTAAAACAATCCCATAAACCCTTGGTCTCCTCCCACATAGCCCCACCCCAACTACTGTCGAACCCTTGTTCTTCTCCTAAAAACCACTTTCTTGAATTTTGGAAAGAAACAAAGGGAGAACAATAAGTTCACTTGCAAATTAAAGAAGAAATATCAATTTATATTATTGAAGTAACGATTCAACAACATAAAATTGATTCTTTAGGCTCCCTTTCATATATGGAATTCAAATAATGGAATTGGACTTGGAAACTTCAATTCCAATTCTGGTGTTTGGTAGCACAAAAATATGTGGATTTTGAATCAGTAGTGCAAAACATGAATTGGAATTGGAGAATTCAATTTCGTTGAATTCGATTCTATAGAATTTGAATTCCAACTCAATTCTAATTCCATCAATTCTGTGTACCAAACGGACCCTTATGATCTAAAATTCACTTTACCAATCAATTTTAACACTAATCTTAGTGTGAATTTCAGCAATGGTACTTGAACTTTCTCGGGAATTTCGATTCGGTACCCACACTTTAAAACCTTTCACCAAAATACCTTAACTTACATAATCCTTTCACTAAAACTTCATTTACCCGTTTCTAGGTTAACTTCTGATCATTTTTGCTAAATTAGAATTTTATATATTTTAAAATTTTTAATTTGACCCCATTCCTTTTTTTCTTCTTCTTCTTCCCCCTCCCACTCCCTTCTTTTTCTTCTTCTTTCACCCCCTTTCTTCTTCTTCTTCTTCTTCTTCTTCAAAGCCTCCCTCACCCCACCCCACCCCACTCCAAGTCCCACCCCGCCAGCCCCCTCTCTCTCTTCCTCTTTTTTTCCAGATTGGAACACCCGTAGTTTGATTATTATTAAAGTATGAGAATGTTACAGTGAGATATTGCACAATACACTTCTAGAGAGAGGGACTTCAAATCCCTTCGACTAAGAGTTACAAGCGTATTTATAGTGAAGCTAGGGGATAAGGTAGCATGCACTCATGCCTGGCCACGCGCTTGCTACGTGATAAAGTAAAAGATGTGATACTTCGTTGTCTTGTAGTGTTTGTCCCTTATTCCCTAGATTTTTGCCTTTGTAATTGTCCCTATTGGTACATACTGCTTGAGATGATATGCGTGGATAAGCCCGCTAGTGCAAGGGAATCTAGCGCGACCAAGTCACTTTCATCTATTTGCACCGGGCTATTATCATGCCAATACATCAAGTCCTAAAAATCCACCCGAGTAGTTTCCTGAAGGGGGCGTCTTGATCAATTGAGTATCTTTTCGGCAGCGCTATGCTGTTTGACCAGTCACCCACATATAACCTGAGTAAACTCTAGGTAAATACGATCGGATTAGCGTGCAAGGTTTGTTGTTGTATGAGGTTGGAATCCACCCGGTTGGCTTTTGGTCCAAAGTTACCTGGGTGATCTCTCAAATGTGAGCGTCAAGTCTACCAACCACCATATCAATGATCTATCAGTCCACATCGTGCTTTCCACCCGGTCATGTATGTTGCACCCGGGTAGTCCTCAAGACACTCCAACCAGGTAACTACACTATGCTTTCTCTACTATTGCTACGTCAGATAGGCGCATGGGACCCAACTTGGTAAGGTTACCTCGACACAACTAGGCCTGGCCTAACACCAGTTACTTGCAATCTTAAATTTAAAACTCACAAGTCCAGGATTCAAACTGAGATAAACTTTGAAGGTCAACCTAGCTTCCTGTTGAATCATCTCGGGTTAACCTGGTCATCGAAATCACACCTGAGTAGGCTCTATGATACTTTGACTAGGTAAACATATCTTGTCTCCTTTACTTATCGTGCCAATCTAGACATCCACCCGGGTAGGTTTCCTGTAGACCGACTCGGGTCATGGTCGGGGTGTAAATACACCGATCAAGTTCTAAAATACGTATAGCGGCCTTGTTTGTAACCCCCTCTTTCCCACCTCCCCACCCCTCTCCCTTAATAATTTTTTTTCCACATACTATTCACAACCTTATATCAGTTTGCCAGTTTACCTAGAGATAATAATTGTGTTGTTAAATTTGACTCTAATAAATTTTTCTGAAAGACACTTGGACGAGAACCTTGATTCATCGGTCCAATAACGAAGGCCCTCTCTATCCCCCGTGCCCACCTGGTCTGGCATCCCAGGTCAACATTGCCTCTGCTGATGTTCAAATGTGGCATAGTCATCTTGGACACCCCAAGCCTAACAGTCCTTCCTGGAGTCCCTAGCCTTATTTCTTTATTTAATAAACATTTATAACATTTTTTGTGTCATGTTTGTCAATTGGGAAAACATATTCGTCTCCCATTTACTTTGTCTGGTCGTATTTTTACTTTCCCGTTTCAATTAATGCACACAGATTTATGCCAATCTCATGTGCTAGTATAACTAGCTTTAAATTTTATATGCTTCTTTTGGATGGTTTTCACACTACTTACGGGTATTTCCTCTATGTCACAAATCTGATATTTTTTCTCACCTCACTAATTTCATCACATATGTGAAAAATTAATTTAATTATACCATTAAGGTTGTTCAATGCGATAACAACACTGAGTACTGTAACACCCCCCCCCCCCTCTAAAACATTTTAAATCTCCTCATATTTCTTTAGATTCTGCTGCCCCCACACTAGTCACAAAATGGTTGAGCTGAGCAACAATCCGCACCATCAACAAAACTATTTGGTCCCCTCTTTTCCAAGCCCAACTCCCTCCCACCTATTGGGTTGAGGCCCTGCACATGGGCTCTCACCTCTTCAATCTCCTACCCACCACCACCCTACACAACTACATCTCCCATGAGGTATTTTTTTACTCCCTCCCAGATACTCACATCTTCAAGTTTTTTGACGTCTCTACTACACTATCACTTATAAACTATCCACACGCTCAATTCCATGCATTTTTCTTAGCTACCCATCAAATCAAAGTGGTTTACGTTGTCTTGATATTTCCACTCATAAAATCATCATCTCTCGATACGTCTTTTTTACGAGTCCACCTTTCCTTTTACTCACTCAACCACACCAAATGATTTTCTCCATCTTGATTCCATGGAGGATGCCACCTCTTATCACCTTCACCACATAACCCACGGCCGACTCCCTCCACCCCCCACCCAAAACCACCCCNCATTCTCCTCCAGGCCCAAATCCCTCTCTCCACACCAGCCCCCTCTCCGTCCCAAACAGCCCCCCCTCCCATTTCACTCTCGGCCCACACAAACCCACTCACTGTCAACGCCCATCCTATAGTCCAACCCACTCCTAGCTCTCCCAAAACTCGTGACCCGCCAGTTCTCACGTCTCAAAGCACCCATCTCATGACCACGCAGACTAAATCGGGCATTACTTGTCCGAGGCATATAAACCTTAACATTACGACCCACATCTCCCGCCCCCACCTACCGTAGTTAACTAAAGGATAAAAATGGTATAACCAAATGTGTGATGGATATAATGCTTTGACCAAGAAGAAAACATGGGAATTAGAACCCCCCTTCCCCCAACCAAAATGTTATTTCTAGCGAATGGCTTTTCACCATAAATTTGGCATTATAGGTGATATCGTCCTCAATGCCTCTTCTATTCCACCACTTTCTCGAATTGCCTAGTGCTTAAAAGGGGAATTTGGCATGAATAATATGGGGGAGCTCATTTTTTTTCTTGGCATCAATGTCCATTGCACCAAAGGCGGTTTGCTCATGAAATCCTAGAAAGAATGAGGATGGTTTCCAGCAAGCTCATTATCATGCATCTTGATACCAAAGGTAAGTTGGCCACCAGATCGTGTGCCCTTGTCGCTGATCCCTCACTCTATCGGTCCATTGTTGGTGCACTACAATCATAGTTTTCAGAACCGGACCGGTGATCGAACCGGCCAAAGCACTAGTTCACTGGTCGAACCAGTGGTTCACAAATATTTAAAAATTATGAATTATATATATATGTGTGTGTGTGTGTGTGTGAAAAATAATATGTAATTAAAACAATACTTCTTCTATCTATATATAAAGAATTTATGATGTATTATTTAATTTATAATCACTTTAATGTATTCGAGTAGTAGCATTAAATCTTTTTTTAGAAATAGTTGTAGCATTAAATTGAAAAAAAATTACATTCTATGGGTATTTAGAAACATTAAAAGTTTATAAAACAAGATTTGATTTTTTTTGTTTAGTATTTTACCCAATATTTTCAAAATATTCAAATGAGTTAATATTTTTGGGATATGTACTTTGTTAGTATCAATTGCATTAATGGATAAGAGTTTGAATCACAATTTAAACATTATATTTTTCAAATTATAGAGATGAAAAGTAGTCTTTTTAAAATTTGTATTCTTTTAACTTTAGGCTATTAAACTAATTTATGCTAATACTTAACAAAAAGTGAAGTAGTAGAGATGGTAGCTACCTTGGTCTAGAAGCATGGGGTATTGTGTTCGAAGCCTACTAGTTCAAAAATTTTGGAAAATTTGGACGCAAAAAAAAAAAAACTGGTTCGCAGGTTTAACCGGCCGGTTCTTACCGGTTGGTTCCGGTTTGATCCGGTTCGGTGCGTGTACCGGTCTTCAAGGCTGGACTGGACTGGCTTGCCTACCGGTTCACCGGTTTCCGGTCAAAACCGGCCGGTTCGGTCCGGTTTTCAAAACTATGACTACAATATCTCACTTTCACCAAGCCAATTCTCACCAATGCAGTCTAACAGCTTTGCCTTTATCTCCAGTGCCCACGGAGCGCCCATCTCACAGCCGGTGACAGCCCTAAAGAGGGTCCTCCAATATCTTCATGGCACGGTAACGCATGGTCTCACTCTTTATCACTCTTCTGCGGACTCTCTTTGAGCTTATTTTGATGTTGATTGGGTTGGCTGCCCACACACTCGTTGGTCCACCTCGGGTTACTGTGTTTTTCTAGGTGATAATCTCGTCTCTTGGTCTTCAAAGTGGCAAGCCATCACGTCGCGGTCTAGCGCCTGAAGCTAAATATTGTGTTCCAACGCCCCCTTGAGTATTTTAAACTTGATATGTGGAACAATTGCATCCAAAGTAAGACGTTGTAAAGTACTGTGCAAGTGTAAATTACCAAAAGTTAAAATTGTTTATAGAGTGAGTTGTTTAAAGTAAAGTAATACATAGTTAAGAGTTTAATTAATACCCCAGCGTATTCGAATGTATAAGTAATGTGCCAGAAGCTGCACCCTGTGATCCGTTGGGGTAGACATCTCTTCCACCTCTACTTTTGCACGAGAGTTCCTTCAAAACTGGTTGTTTCTTCCTCGGTCGAACCATGACTGAAAATAGGCAAGGACGATTCCCTTTGTATGCACCAAACCACATTTCAATATCATCGTTCTCCAAATCAATGGTGTTCATATATCCAGCTATTTCCTTGGCAAATAGTTCCACATATTTTTTACTCTTAGAATACTATAAATACATAATGAATCTGAAACAGACTATATATGTGAACATTGCAATGTTTTTAAAAAGATATCATTACTTACCATTATCTCATCAATATATGTACATGCTTTTTCCCACAATCTCACTTGTCTTGTCCGCTGAAGACACCAACTAATTTGGAAGTAAATTGCTCAATTTTATGGATGGCATCACAAACCGAAGGCATAGGTAAAAGATACCATATAATTCCATGAAACTCTTAACTAATTTGATGCATAGGAATAGTAAAACAAGAAAAAAATCATGAATAATCTCACGAATTCAAAAACCATCTTTATCATGTAACGAGACTCTAGCGTCTGAATCAACAAGGATGCCGCCCTTGAAAAAAAACAGCAACGGTAGCTGTTCCGTATGCCTGTTTAGATAAAAAATAAGATCGATATGCATTGAAAAACTTCTTGAACTAAATTTTAATGCATATCGATCTTATTCTTTTTATCTAAACAGGCACACGGAACAGATACTGTTGCTGTTTTTTTCAGGGGCGGCATCCTTATAGGTTCAAATGCTAGAGTCTCGTTACCTGATAAAGATGATTTTTGAATTCGTGAGATTATTCCTGATTTTTTTCTTGTTTTACTATTCATATGCATCAAATTAGTTAACAGTTTCATGGAATTATATGGTATCTTTTACCTATGCCTTCAGTTTGTGATGACTTCCATAAAATTGAACAATTTACTTCAAAATTAGTTGGTGCCTTCAGCGGACATGTGAGATTGTGGGAAAAAGCATGTATATATATTGATGAGATAATGATATCTTTTTAAAATATTACAATGTTCACATGGATAGTCTGTTACAGATTCATTATGTATTTACAAGATTCTAAGAGTAAAAAAGATGTGGAAATATTTGCCAAGGAAATAGCTGGATATATGAACACCATTGATCTGGAGATTGCTGATATTGAAACATGGTTTGGTGCGTACAAAGGGAACAGTCCTCGCCTATTTTCGGTCATGGTTCGATCGGGAAAGAAGCAATCAGTTTTGAAGGAACTCTTGTGCAAAAGTAGAGGTGGAAGAGATGTCTGCTCCAGCGGATCACAGGGTGCAGCTTCTGCCCAATCACTTATACATTCGAATACGCTGGGGTATTAATTAAACTCTTAATCATGTATTACTTTAGTTTAAACAACTCACTTTATAAACAATTTTAACTTTTGGTAATTTACTCTTGCACAGTATTTTACAGCGTCTTACTTTGGATGCAATTGTTTCACATATCAAGTTTGGAATACTTAAGGGGGCGTTGGAGGATATATGGAGCGGTGGACGCCTAAGAGGTAATTTTTTTTATATGTGAACAATTTAATACTTACCTTGCCTCAATATATAGTACATGTTCACTATCCACATGGTCAAATTTCATTCACTTTCTTTCTCTATTTACGCGTACGTTAGTAATTTGATAAAGTAAAATATTACTGTCACTACTAGTTCTGTAGATCTTTTGATGTAATATTTTAATATGTAATTTTAATTTTTTAACTGTATATCATTTGTCATATAAAATGATTTGAATGTAATTCTAGTCAAACATCGTAAATCAAAACAGACAATATAAATTGGGACGGAGGGAGTAATATTAATCTTGATAATTACAAAGGATCCACCTCCCCACATTTATATAAAGGAGGGATACAAATATGTAACAATAATAAAAGGAATCCTATACAAAATAAGACTCTATCAAATATAAATAATATTAAATATGTTACTCCATCGTTCTAAAAATTTCTTTCCCGATTTGACCTAACACGAAGATTAATAAAAAAAATTAAAAAATGTAAAAACTATTCATGTGTTGCACTTGATGTGATGAAATAAATTAAATAGTGTAAAGAAAAATATGGATGTAATAGCACATTCATTACAAGTTTTTTACTAAAATAGGAAACAAGAAAGAAATTTTTGGATAGCCTAAAAAGGAAAGTTAGAAAGAAATAAATGGACGGAGGGAGTAATATTTAACATGCTTCCGGCTACGCGGCGATGATCGAACCCTGAGAATATTTCAGAAATCTGTAACGAGAAGTGATGCTAGTCCCTTTGTAAAGATGTTAGCATATTGGGAGGAGGAAGGAACATCAAGAACATGAACATGTCTGAGGGCCACTTTGTCTCGAACAAAGTGTATATCAACCTTTATATGTTTTTCTGTTGATATTGAACAGGGTTGGAGGATAAGTTGACTGTGCTAATATTATCATAGAAGACAATGGTGGCTTGGCGTATGGGTTGACAGAGCTCAAGTAGATTCCGTATCCAAAAGGTTTTGGCTATGACATTTGCAATAACACAATATTTAGCTTCGGGCGCTAGACCGCGACGTGGTGGCTTGCCACTTTGAAGACGAAGAGACGAGATTATCTCCTAGAAAAACACAGTAACCCGAGGTGGACCAACGAGTGTTTGGGCAGCCAGCCCAATCAACATCGAAATAAGCTCCAAAAGAGTCCGTAGAAGAGTGATAAAGAGTGAGACCATGGGTTACTGTGCCATGAAGATATCGGAGGATCCTCTTTAGAGCTGTGAGATGGGCGCTCCGTGGGCAGTGGAGATGAAGCAAAGCTGTTGGACTGCATTGGTGAGATTTGGCTTGGTGAAAGTGAGATATTGCAGTGCACTAACACTAGACCGCTAGAGTGAGGGATCAACGACAAGGGCACACGATCCGGTGTCCAACTTACCTTTGGTATCAACAAGCATGATAATGAGCTTGCTGGAAACCATCCTCGTTCTTTCTAGGATTTCATGAGCAAACTGTGTCTGATGCAGATTGCTCTAATGAGAGATAAAGTAAAGGTGATTGTCCATAATAGAACAACTCTCTTTGATGAGCAAGTAATGTATTGACCTAGTTGAAGTATTTCTGCCTACCACAAATGCATATATTTAAACTGGACCCCAAAAGTATTAGTGTAGTTGTGAAGTTAAAACAAAGGAAAGTAGAAAGGAGCACTTAATGGAAATAGTGATATCTGAGATGTAATTCCCTGCCCAGATTCATCACTAGCTGTATTCATCCCATCTCCTGCTGGGTATGAAAAGAAAGATTTCGTTGCCAGCAGCACAACCCCCCTCTCAGGATTGATTGTATGAGTATGATGACGGTAACAATCATTGAGATGCCTTAATCTCTGCATATAAATACCTGATATGGATTATGATTAATGGAAAAATCTATCAACAAGAGCCTGCACACTAGACTTCCACCGACATTAGTTACAGTATCGACGTCAATAAATTTTGGGAAAAGTTTACCAGGGCATGCTACATCAACACTCATTACCGCATGCCCACAACCCTAACAATCAAGATACAGTCTTACCTGGGGTAATCTAAGTTAAAGCTCTACTTTGAACTTGTAATGTAATCATATATGACATACTGCATCATCTTAGTATCCTATAGATTGGTTATGTTTTGACTGATTGTGTGTGTGTGTTTCTCATTCTTGTGTAGATTTGGATAATAGATTGCCCCCTGGGCTAAGAGTGGACGAACCCTCTCTATGTCGGTGTTGTTTAAAAGGGATGCACCACTTTTATCTGTGCCCGTATGGAAATATTGTCCCTGAGGGTGCAAAAGTTGGCCATGGCTTTAGCCTCTACTGCAAGGACTGTTGCGGGAAGGAATT